TCCTTACTATTTTAATTGCACTTTTGTGTTCAATATAAATCTGACTTTAAATATTCAATACAAATGTCTAGTACTAAAATTTTCATAGAATAATGTTGATGTAAACCTTCAAATTCTATGATTTCTAGACTTTAAATGAGAAAGTGTAAAACCTGATTAGAATTTTTATGAAATTGTATGTCATAAAAAAATCAGTAAAAATTTTGACTTTGTTATTGAGTAAGTGTAAATTTAGAATTTCTGTTTTCTAGCACTTTTTAGTATATCTATATAAGGTGATCTTTGTACTTCTAAATTCTCTCTTTACTTTTAGATCTACGTTTTGTATTTGGTATAGGTTTAGAATTCTTTTTAATGAATGAAAAAAATTATTATTTTTCAGTTTTAACTAAACAATTTTGAAAGTATTATATATTTAGTAGGTATAATATATATACAAATGTGTATTGGTAAAGGAGAAATATGATAATATTTAAATATCAGATGAGAATACAAGTTCTGGCAATGTCTTACCTTGTTAGTACCAGCTTAAGCTAACTAGATAGGAGCTTTAAGTACCTTAGAATTGCAGTGTTATACCTAAAGAGCCGACATTGATTGAAGTATTGTAGTATTTTATCTGTACCTTCTTGTTAAGTGATATCGGTGCAGTTAATCAAGGTACAAGCAAAATACTTTTTGAAAACAGCTTTGTAAAATATCACAACCGTGCCCAAATTGTAACCAAATTTTCCATCTGTGTCTTTTGCTGATGAAAAATTAACTGAATTAATCTTTACTCAACCCATTTTAATTCTAAAGAATAAATCCCAATTATTGTTTTCTGTTCATTGTACATAATAATGACAATACCTGTGATGTTGATCTAATATGGTTACCATCAATCTTAACACTTCTATAGTGTACTGGTATGTTTACCATATATAAAGCCAAGCATTAGAAAGGTTCATATATCTATTACATAATCCATGATTTTAAGACTTTTGGAAGGAAAGAAAAAACAAAACAAAAAGTAACCTATGGATGGATTTTGTTTAAAACATTTTTTTTTTTTTTCATTTTAGATTCAAAATTTCATTATAGAGGGTTATAACATAAACATCCCAGGTGTTGATTTTTTTCTGTTTATCTAATGCCATATATTTATTTTCAATGTTTGTGTCCTGATATTTTACAAGTCTCAGCTTCATGTGAATTTCCAGGAAGATGTTTATTGTTAACCCAGAGAACCCTCACTCAGTACCCTGGCCCATACTGTTCTGACACTACATATATAAATAAAACTATGTGTTATTCAGTGTTTTTAAAGTATTTAAAATTTCCTTCCCACGGGCCATACGATACAGTGCTATTCCTTTACTACAATAATCTGTTGATGTTTCCTGATCTATTCAGTTTAATTTCTATTCCATCACAAGAACCCTTTCGCTGTTAAATCAGTTATCATTATGAACCCCTAACAAACTGGAGTTGTCTCCCTTGTGATCCAATGTGATCATTAACATATCTTCCTGGAAAATGTCCATGATATCCAATTAAAGCTCAGATGTAAATACACCAATTTTATTGTTGGTAGCACTTAGCTAATGGTAAGCATTTGTAAATGAATAATTCATTTTTTGAATAGCCTAAATAAAAATATGCCTTAATAAAAATATACCTATGTTTACCTACCTAATCAGTGTCTAGGTTTACCTACCTAATCAAAGTCAAGGTTTACCTACCTAATCAGAGTCTAGGTTTACCTACCTAATCAGTGTCTAGGTTTACCTACCTAATCAGAGACTAGGTTTACCTACCTAATCAGAGACTAGTTTTACCTACCTAATCAACCTACCTAATCAGAGTCTAGGTTTACCTACCTAATCAGAGACTAGGTTTACCTACCTAATCAGAGACTAGGTCTACCTACCTAATCAGAGACTAGGTCTACCTACCTAATCAGAGTCAAGGTTTACTTACCTAATCAAGGTCTAGGTTTACCTACCTAATCAGAGACTAGGTTTACCTACCTAATCAGAGACTAGGTTTACCTACCTAATCAGAGACTAGGTTTACCTACCTAATCAGAGACTAGGTTTACCTACCTAATCAGAGTCTAGGTTTACCTACCTAATCAGAGTCTAGGTTTACCTACCTAATCAGAGACTAGGTTTACCTACCTAATCAGAGACTAGGTTTACCTACCTAATCAGAGACTAGGTTTACCTACCTAATCAGAGACTAGTTTTACCTACCTAATCAGTGTCTAGGTTTACCTATCTAATCAGACTCTAGGTTTACCTACCTAATCAGTGTCTAGGTTTACCTATCTAATCAGACTCTAGGTTTACCTACCTAATCAGAGACTAGGTTTACCTACCTAATCAGAGTCTAGGTTTACCTACCTAATCAGAGACTAGGTTTACCTAGAGACTAGGTTACCTACCTAATCAGAGTCAAGGTTTACTTACCTAATCAAGGTCTAGGTTTACCTACCTAATCAGATACTAGGATAACCAAACTAATCACAGACAACGTTTACCTACCTAATCAGAGACTAGGTTTACCTACCTAATCAGAGACTAGGTTTACCTACCTAATCAGAGACTAGGTTTACCTACCTAATCAGAGACTAGGTTTACCTACCTAATCAGAGACTAGGTCTACCTACCTAATCAGAGACTAGGTTTACCTACCTAATCAGAGTCTAGGTTTACCTACCTAATCAGAGACTAGGTTTACCTACCTAATCAGAGACTAGGTTTACCTACCTAATCAGAGACTAGGTTTACCTACCTAATCAGAGACTAGGTTTACCTACCTAATCAGAGACTAGGTCTACCTACCTAATCAGAGTCAAGGTTTACTTACCTAATCAAGGTCTAGGTTTACCTACCTAATCAGAGACTAGGTTTACCTACCTAATCAGAGACTAGGTCTACCTACCTAATCAGAGACTACCTAATCAAGGTCTACCTACCTAAGTCAAGGTTTACTTACCTAATCAAGGTCTAGGTTTACCTACCTAATCAGAGACTAGGTTTACCTACCTAATCAGAGACTAGGTCTACCTACCTAATCAGAGACTAGGTTTACCTACCTAATCAGAGACTAGGTTTACCTACCTAATCAGAGACTAGGTTTACCTACCTAATCAGAGACTAGGTCTACCTACCTAATCAGAGACAGAGTCTACCTACCTAATCAGGTTTACCTACCTAATCAGAGACTAGGTCTACCTACCTAATCAGAGTCAAGGTTTACTTACCTAATCAAGGTCTAGGTTTACCTACCTAATCAGAGACTAGGTTTACCTACCTAATCAGAGACTAGGTCTACCTACCTAATCAGAGTCAAGGTTTACTTACCTAATCAAGGTCTAGGTTTACCTACCTAATCAGAGACTAGGTCTACCTACCTAATCAGAGTCAAGGTTTACTTACCTAATCAAGGTCTAGGTTTACCTACCTAATCAGAGACTAGGTTTACCTACCTAATCAGACTCTAGGTTTACCTACCTAATCAGAGACCTAATCAGAGTCAAGGTAGGTCTACCTACCTAATCAGAGACTAGGTCTACCTACCTAATCAGAGTCAAGGTTTACTTACCTAATCAAGGTCTAGGTTTACCTACCTAATCAGAGTCTAGGTTTACCTACCTAGTCAGTGTCTAGGTTTACCAATCTAATCAGACTCTAGGTTTACCTATCTAATCAGACTCTAGGTTTACCTAACTAAACAGAGTCTAGGTTTACCTACCTAATCAGAGTCCAGGTTTACCTACCTAATCAGAGTCAAGGTTTACCGACCTTGTTAGAGACTAGGTTTACCTACCTAATCAGAGTCAAGGTTTACCTACCGGATTTAAAATTGAGATTTCAAAAAATATAAAAATATAAAAATATTTTTTGCCATATATAAATTTATTTGAAAGCATTTTTTCTTTTGATAAAATCATAAAAATTCAAACGTGATAAAATACTTTGTATTTGTTTAGATTAACATCGAGTCAAGCTGTTTCTAAAATATCAATGGCGACAGATGAACATTTTAATTTTTGACCATACATATATTTCTTGGAGACAATATTGTTGATTATTTTAATGTGACCTTTTGTGCTGATATTCCCCGAATGACCTTAAGCTTTGCTATGTTGAGTTGGTTTGTTTACATGCGAGCTTTTCCCTGTTGACCTTTTGGTTGGTTTGATGTTTGCAGTGTTTATTTTACTAACCAGTTTTCTTTCTTCTCACCATATATGTGTGATACAGAGAGATCGAGAACTCCGAATCATGGTAAGATCATCTTTAATATAAGTGATGAGTTCAAATTCCGTAAAATTATTCAACATATTGAAATAAAAAATTTGTTTTCTTCAGGAAATAAACATATTTTAATTTTAAATATAGAAAACTACCATGACAGAGAAGTAAGTGTAATTTGCATGATAATCATAACACATGCTTTAGTTATGTCAGTTTGTTGAAGTCTTGTAAATCACCTGCATCCATTTTGGTCTTCACTTCCTTGATGTAAATAATTTCAACCCTGAAATTGTTGAAATAAATGTCCTGATTAATTTCAGATTACTGAAAATGTAAGCTTGAGAATAGAAATTATGTGCTAGTAGTTGTTTTTCTGTTTACGTTTATCATTTTTTTTAAAAATCTGAATTTTTACGTAAGGTGGGAGAGGAAATTTAGGAGTTATAACCCTTTGCATCTACATAGTAATGTCATGCTTAAATAATCATTAGCTGGATGAAATGCTGATTGTGCTAAAGCAGATATTATTAACTAAACAGGATTTCTGTTTGCTGTAGAGTTTTTTTTATGCCAGCTTGGTTTGTTTTGCTACGAGTTTTATTTTAGTGAGATATATAACCACAATTGAAAACCTCCGCTTTTTGTTTGACCCAAAAATCTCTGTTTTGAATTTATGTAAAATTTATACACCTTTACACTGTATATCCCTTGATATTTAGTTATCCTCATTACCTGTCTCTATTACTCGGGTAGATTAACGAGCTGATTATAAATACCGTGGAGACAGAGCGTCAACGATACTTCCTCGACCGCCTCGTGATGATGGACGTCCCCTTGTTATTTGTGGGACCTACAGGAACAGGCAAATCGGCCATCACCAACAGCTTCCTCCTTCAGCTTCCTAAAGACAAGTACATTATCACAAATATCAACTTCTCTGCCCAGACGTCGGCCAGTCAAACCCAGGATATCATCTTCTCCAAGCTTGACAGGTGAGACGTGGACATTGTGGGGCTTACATTTCTTCCTTGTCAAAATCATCAATTTTTCTTTAAGTGACATACTCTTGTAATAGGAACACAAAATACGTCCAATCTACATCATTGTTACATTGTAAACTAGACATTCATTAAGGGGCTGAGAAACAGAAACTTCATGAAGCAACACGGTACCAATTTGCTATATTGCCAATCTTCAAGCAATTTGTGTCATAACATCTTTAGTAACACTGATCAATTATACTAGAAAAAATCAAAATAAATCACTCTCGGGCAGAGTTCTTATTGAATTCTCTTCTATAAACAAGCTGAGGGAAACACCTGGATATATTTCAACCCAGCTGCAGATGTGACAGTATTCATAGTTAGGTCATATTATTAACCAATATTATTACTAGAAGAAATCTGAAAGGCATTAATCACATAGCTTTATTTTCAACCAAATTGAAATCCTGAGGAAGAATCAGGTTCAGATTTCAGAAATTTTACAACACTGTTAGAGAGCTGGTTCAAAGAAACAGTGGAGGCTTCATCCTTATTACATGGGGAAGTGACATTGCACAAATGAAGTGTTATATTCTTAGAGGTTGTCTCTCCTTTGACTGAATTTCAATCTTGCTTCCAAAATCAACCATAAAAAGTGCATTATCTCATCATTTATAATTTTTTTTTTTCTTCTAGGACCTTATATCCACTAATTTTTTTGTATTTTATGCATTAATTTGATTATCAAGTATTAGAGATTAACATGAGGTAGGGGTAATACTTTTTAATGTCTGATAAAAAAAAATGATATATTCATGTATGAAACAGGCCAAAATATTAATTGTAATTTGTGTGACTTTACAGGAGGAAGAAGGGTGTATTTGGCCCCACACTGGGTAAAAAGCTGTGTGTGTTTGTTGATGACCTGAACATGCCTGCCAAGGAGAAGTATGGGGCACAACCCCCAATAGAGATTCTCAGACAGTGGATAGATCACAAGTACTGGTTTGACAGGTAGGATTACATGTTTCTATCAAGAATTCTCATCTGTATCTTTTCAGCGTACCAGAGGAAAGAAAATGATCATATCGTTTACAATGTGACATCCATCTTGATGATCTTTTATTTCTGAAAAAACAAAAACCCCAAAAACTTCTTCTTTATCAAATTTTGATGAAGGGAAAAACTATAACACAAATGAACAAAATCATGCCTCATTCTGACTAAATAATTGTATCACAGATTAAAGGAAAATGACTAAAACACAAAATGTGCAAAATCATGCCTAATTCTGATTAAAGGGAAATAACTGTGTCACAGATTAAAGGAAAATGACTAAAACACAAAATGTACAACATCATGCCTAATTCTGATCAAAGGGAAATAACTGTGTCACAGATTAAAGGAAAATACTAAAACACAAAATGTACCAAATCAGGTCTAATTCTGATTAAAGGGAAATAGCTGTGTCACAGATTAAAGGAAAATGACTAAAACACAAAATATACAAAATCACGTCTAATTCTGATTAAAGGGAAATAACTGTGTCACAGATTAAAGGAAAACGACTAAAAGACAAAATGTACAAAATCACGTCTAATTCTGATCAAAGGGAAATAACTGTGTCATAGATTAAAGGAAAATTACTAAAACACAAAATATACAAAATCACGTCTATGTGTGATAGATTAAAGGAAAATTACTAAAACACAAAATATACAAAATCACGTCTAATTCTGATTAAAGGGAAATAACTGTGTCACAGATTAAAGGAAAATAACTACAACACAAACATACAAAATCATGCCTAATCTGATGAAAGGGAAATAACTTTGTCACAACTTTAAAAAAAATTATGATTCTATTGAAGGGAGATAACATTAAGATCAAATACAAAAATCATACCTAATTTCACAAATATTTTGTTTGGCAGGAAAGACACAACAATCCTGGAGCTGGTTGATATAGTCATGGTTTCTGCTATGGGCCCTCCTGGTGGAGGACGAAATAATGTCACGCCACGCTTCACTCGACACTTCAATGTCATTGGAATAGAGTCTTTTGATGAAGAAACCATGAAAAACATCTTCTCTCCGATCTTAGACTGGCATTTTAATTTCTTTGAGACAACTCTCCGAAGGTTTTCAAGGGTAAGTAAATATTGATTGTGGAATATTTCTAATTCTTATGTTAATCTGACACTTTAGTTTTTCTGAAACACTTGATTTCAAGAAAAATTAATACTTACAAAATACATCATTTTAGATTTGTGTCTTGATGTGAAATTATGTTGTACCCTCATAGTGATATAGAAACCATGAATTTTGAATTGTGGGAAACTATACAGTTATTTATCTATGGTTGTGACCTATATAAGTGTATCAGGACATCCTAAGGATTGTTTCCCTGTTAGGACATGCCTCCTAAACATATTCACTGTGATCTGGTGTCTATAGTGTTTAATTGGCATATGTTTCACTATTCACAGATTTATTCAAACAGTGTAGATTTGGTAGAAAAAGTGTCAGTTGTGATCTGTTATGGATGTTTATGTCACATGACTTGTCAAAGGCTATCACATGACAGACATGTGATGCAGCAAATGTCACTCATAAACACTGATTTTAATAAGTCCATCATGACATTACATTTTTCAGATATTTTCAATTAGAAAAAGGCAGCTGATTCAAGTATTCACAGCATTGTTGAAATATATTCTGGTGCGGTTTATAGCTCAGAAAAAACACTCTTGTATTTTTTTTATATACCAGTATATAAGTAATAGATATGTTTTGATGACAGATTATCCTAATGAGCACCATGGAGATATATAATAGTGCCATCGTGAAATTCCTGCCAAGTCCTTCAAGATCCCACTACGTCTTCAACCTGCGCGACTTTGCAAGAGTTGTACAGGTAAGAGGTTAGAGTATTTGATGTTTGCGGTAGAACGTCTTTGACTTTTGAAACAAATGTAACCATGGATGCCATTGGAGGTGTCCTTGATCTTTTTTGAAGGTGTCCTTGAACTGTGTTGAATATGTCCTTGACTTGTGTTGAAGATGTCATGGACTTCATTTAAGATGACCTTAATTTATGTGTTGATGTTGCCCATGACATGTGTGGAAAGTGTCCTTGGCCTCCTCTGAGGATGACCTTAACCTCTTTTGAATGTGTCCTAACTTTGTGATGAAAATATCCTTGACCTCTATTTAGGTTTATCCTGTTTTGCAGAAAATTTTGACCTCAGTTGAATATGTTCTTGACCTCTGCTGAAACTGTCCTTGACTTTTTTATAACCTCTATTGCTGGGAATTTGACCTCTGTTATAGGGTATTCTATTGCTGAAGCCAGATGTAATGCCCACAGAAGGAACAGAGGCTTCACAGAAAATTATGAGATTGTGGGTACATGAAGTTTACCGTGTCTTCTATGACCGCTTAGTGGACGAAACTGACCGCGAGGTTTACTTTGGCCTGGTGAAGGTAAGGTTTGATGGTTATACAACACAGCTTTGTAGTTACTTCAAGTACCTGGAAATGTAAATACATTTAAATCAGAGTGTTTACATTTACATCAGGGTGTTAACATTTACATCAGGGTGCTAGCTAAAGAGAAATTTTTGTTCTAACCACACGATCTATTGCTGCTGTTACTAACCAGGGTAAAACATATAGATGATATACTTGTTTGATTTTTTCTCTATCATGAATGTCTGAAATTTTATCTCTACAGCATTGTATAGAAACCCAGTTCAAGGAGAAGATGAATATCTTGTTTAAACACCTCATACCAAAAGAAGCAGAGAGAGTCACCGTCGTTGATGACGACATCCGTAGTCTCCTGTTCGGGGACTATCTGTCTAAGGGCAAGGAGGAAAAACTCTATGATGAAATATCCAGTATGGATGAACTAAGAGAGGTTGGTTAGAAAAAAAATGAATGATCCAATTTCTCATATATTGTAAGAACCACATTAAACATTACCATTTCTTCTAAGGATAATTTCAAAGTGAAATCCAAAAAAATTATTTTTAATCTTTAATAGGTTTAAAAGAAAAGATTTTATGACTGGTGTGAAATTTTTTTGAAAAATTGTCGGATTTATCCTTTAGCTTATATCTTTCTTTTATCTGTTTTCATTTTTATGATAACAATAAATGTTACATTACTTATATCAACTTGTAAGATATTTTATGTTTCATGTTTTCCAGACTATAGAACACTACCTGGAGGAATTCAATATGATGAGTAAGGCTCCAATGAGCCTCGTCATGTTCAGGTTCGCCATAGAACACATATCTCGCATCAGCCGCGTCCTCAAACAGCCCAACGGTCATTGTTTACTTGTTGGTGAGTATAGTGGTCACATTCTCATCCTAATGGTATCTATAAAATTCCATTGACCTCACATTATATATCTGTAACATGTAGGTTCTGTATCTTTAAACTGAAAGTTCTTATTGCCATACATAGTATCTGTAAAATAAAGGTTCTGCAAATTATAAATCTTTACTAAAATCCTGTATTGATTTCTTGCTTGATTCTACGTGGTTAAAGTCCATTGAAATTTGGTTATATAGAGTAGGTGAGTATCATATACATTTGCCCTGTAGGTATGGAAAGCTATTTACCATGTGATCATTTAGATACAAGCCCATTGGGCCTTTTTCAATGATGAACTCCTATATCAGAACAAGGAACAGAAAATGGAATTATGTATTTATGTATAAAGGAAAAAGCAAAAGATAGCAAGAAACACAACGATTCTACATAGATGATATGGATCCATCTTAACATTGTTTGTAATTGATACTGATATAGGTATAATAATTTATTTTTATTTTTAATATGTTAAATCATAGATAATAATACCTGCCTTTTAATTCCTTACAGGTATTGGAGGCAGTGGTCGCCAGAGCGCGGCCAAGTTATCAGCCTTCATGTCAGACTTTGAGCTATTCCAGATAGAGATCACGAAAAACTATACAACATCAGAGTGGCGTGAGGACTTACGGAGAATGATGAGACGGGCTGGTGACGAGGGTGTGTCCATGGTGTTCCTGTTTGGAGATCACCAAATCAAGGTCAGAGTTCAAATAAGATACATAGTTTTTCAATTATCAGTATATGTACATCTTTGTCTCAAGGGAAATTTTATTTTGGTTTTGTTTTGTATTTACATGTGGATATCGCACTCATTGATAGTCAGTAAAAAATTAGTTTGATACAGTAGATACAGTTGAGTTATAATTGGAGTTACAGCCCTTTGATACAATATTCTGGTCATAGTTTAAGTATTTTACCTACATGCTGACATTACTTTTTCATTTTAGGACGAGTCTTTCCTAGAGGATGTCAATATGATACTGAACACAGGAGATATACCTAACTTGTACGAGAATGAGGACAGACTAGCCATCATTGAAAGGGTATATTCTTTTTGTTGAAACAGGGACCATACATCTGTAAAAACTATTATCAAGGGTAGAACTTGGCCTAATAAGCATTGATCAGATCTATCATGAAGCAGTTTCACACACATGACGTGCTCGTTACTTTACCTGTGTTGTTTTACATGCCACAGATGCAGAACCTGTGTCAGCAGCAGAACTTGGTGATGGAAATGACTCCACTCAATATGTACAACATGTTTATAGAACGTATCAGAAGAAACCTACACGTGGTCCTGGCCTTCAGTCCCATCGGTGATGCCTTCCGAAATCGTATACGAATGTTTCCTTCTCTCATCAATTGTTGTACTATAGACTGGTTTAAGGTATACACACATTTATTTTTACATAATCAGCAGCTTTATGTGATGTTATTGATGCCTTGATTCATGGTTATCTCCCTTGTTTAAGTGTGTTATTCCCCTTTATTAAATCTGATTCTCTGTTGAACATTGTCTCTCTTTACCAGTTTATTTTGTATAGGTTTATTGTACCTCGCACTTACTTCGCCATTAGTTGTAAAAACCGAATCTGAAATTTAGCCTTGCCATATTTTCACCAACATAGAGCAGGAAGTAAAACTATGAATGTAACTCATTTTATTTAAAATTTTTCCAGACTTCAATATTTGCCAATCAATTTTATGGCAAATTTTAAAGCCACTTATACAAATATCATCATTTTTTTTACAAATGTGTCATCTTTATTGTACCAGGTCATTTAACCAGTATATAGTAATCTTGTCTCCCCAATACATTTAAGGTATCTCCTTTATACAAAGGTATGTCTGCTAGGTTTGTGTCTGTTTAAGAACAGTTACTGTTGTAAAGAATGGTATTTTGTGCAAACAGATCATCATGACAAAGAATGTGTTGTGTGTGTTTTACAGGCTTGGCCTGAGGATGCTTTAGAACTCGTAGCCAACAAGTTTCTGGATGACGTTGAAATGTCTCAGGAAGTACGTGAGGAGACGGTCGTCATGTGTAAACACTTCCACGAGAGCGTACGCGCTTTATCAGAAAGGTAGGTCACATGATGTTTTTGTTTGTGATTTTTGTATATGATTTAGGTGATAAGATATAAGGAGCATCCAATTAGTTTGTGAATTACAAATATTTACACTTTTTTTTGTTTAGGTACTATGATATCCTAAGAAGGAGAAACTACGTGACTCCAACATCGTACCTTGAGCTTATAAAGACATTCAAAAATTTACTGAACAAGAAACGACTGGAAATACTCACCCTCAAAAACAGATACCAAGTTGGATTGGAAAAGCTCAATTTCTCAGAGCAGCAGGTAATGTTACTTGTCCAGTGAAAACTTATTGTGATATTACACTGTCCAATCCTTTGTGAGACTTAATGAGTCTGAAGCTCAGGTCATCAGTATGTTTGTTTTATTAGCAGTATATTTGCTGTAAATCTCTGGTGGTTTGTAACCCAGGTGAAATGTTTGCCTCTGTCTTCCTTACTTTAATATTAGAATTATTTGTTGTAAAAGACAGGGGAAAAGAGAAGAGAAAAGGATAAAAACAGGATAGATAAATAATGATAATGAGTATAAATTATAATATTGCTGTTTCTGTGGATACAGGTGAACATTATGCAACAAGAACTTGTAGAGCTGAAACCAAAGCTGGAGGAGACGAGCCGTGACACAGAGGACCTGATCAAGTACATTGAGAAGGAAAGGATTGAGGTAGAGTCCGTCAAGGCTGTCGTGGAGAAGGATGAGGCGGTGGCCAACCAAGCTGCCGGTGAGGCACGATCTATCAAGGTAAGTTATCTGGTGGCATCCCTTTAAAGTTCAAAGGGCAAAGTAATGTGAAATAGGTCAGGGTCAAGGTCATTTAGTGGTGTCTTTTCAAAGATCAAAGGGCAAAGACAGGTTAAGTAGGTCAAGGTCATCTGATGGGGTATCTTCAAAGTTCATTTGGCAAAGTAAGGTCAAAGTAGGTCAGGGATGAAGTCAAATGATGGTGTACATTTCTTAAAATTTCAAGAGGAACAGTATGGTCAACATAAAGAGGTCAGAAGGCAGATTCAATAAAGAAATTCACTTTGCTTCTAAGCCTGGTAAAGAGATCACCTATGATACATCTACAATTAAAGATTGCCTTTGTTTTCCCTTCCATTAAAGGATCGTTTTCATTTCCACCTGAAGTAAAGGCATTTGATTTCACCTACAGCAAAGAGATCATGTAAGGATATAGGTACTATATTATGTCCTTGCTCCTTTCTAGATTGAATGTGAGGAGAAGCTTGCTATAGCAATGCCTGCCCTCAATGCAGCTGTGTCTGCCCTCGACACCCTGAACCAGAACGACATCACTCTTGTTAAGACTATGAACAATCCTCCCCTGGGTGTCAAACTTGTTATGGAATCTGTCTGCATCATGAAGGTAAGTATTGGCATAGGATTTTGATGTTTTGTGTGGAGAACAGGAGAAAACAAATTGTAAAACATCAGCTATAGTCCTGTGTAATATGTAATGTAGACTGCTATCAATACATCATAAACATAGCCAGGTACAGATGTATTTTCATTTTTAAATATATTTGTACAATGGTACAGCAGAAAAGATACTTGTATATCAACTGACTGACTAACCTTTGAGTTATTATTTCAGGGTATTAAACCTGATAGGAAGGTGGACGGAAATGGAAAGGCATATGAAGACTACTGGCCAGCAGCAAAGAAGGTAAACCTTTTCTTGTGACAGTGTTGACACACAAACAGATACAGTTAAAGTGATATATGGTTTGGGATTGTTCTCAATGATAATGTTACAGATAAAGGTAACATCTCAATATTTCAGTACAAACTCATTTAGCATTTTGTTGAATCTTTAAACAAAAAATAATTAACAATTTTTGAAAAATCAAACAAATATAGAGATAAAAATCATCTATAAAGGATGTTTGATTCCTGGAACGGATGTGAAAGGTATTGAGTCACCTGCCCAACCACTTGGGTTTTCCCTGGGTAAACCAATTTCCTCCAACAGTAAGACCACTTACGTGTTTATACATCCACGTCAATAAGATTGATAAGTGTAAATTTCTATAACTTGTTTCGCAATTGTTGTAAAAGAAATCAATTTAATGTTTAAATTTGAAAAAATGTGTAGTCCATGTATTGATTTCATTGTTTTGATTTTGCAAATTTTATTGAAAAATTATTTTGAATGCCATATTTTTCTTTAATATGACTTGGCTGGTCACCAATTTTTTTTATATGTCTTGCAAAAGATTGGCATACTTTCATGTAAAAAAAATGGTCATATCCCTAACCAATAATTGTTGTATTGTTGTATATCTGCACTAAAACTGTTTTTTTTTTTTCTCTAGATGCTTGGTGATCTGAAGTTCCTGGATTCACTAAAAGAATATGACAAAGAGAACATTCCACCTCCAACCATTAAGAAAATTCGTGAAAAGTATGTCGTCAACCCAGATTTTGACCCCAATATCATCAAGAAGGTGTCATCTGCTTGTGAGGGACTGTGTAAATGGGTGCGGGCCATGGATGTGTTTGACAGTGTATGGAAGGTAAGAGGGAAATTAAATTTAACAGTATCATAATGAATAGAAAAGGATTTTTCAAAGAACGGAGAATTGACTTACAGTTATGGAAAGGAATGTGAAGCTACATGTCTGTTAAAGACGTGGACCAACATATTATTTCTGACTTAACATCAGGGGATGAGTTAATAATGGAACAGCGAAAAACTTTCCTTTTGCTGATGGTATTTGTGATATGCAACAGCAGTTGGTTACAGGCATGCTAGCTATTGGAAAATAAGTAAAGAAACTGGCATGTGTAAAATATGAGGAGTATCCTGATAATGTAAAGGTGATCTTTCATACTTGTTACAACTCTTGTGTTGACTGACCCCTGTGTCCATTTTAGGTCGTTCACCCAAAGAGAAAAAACCTGGAAGAAGCTGAAGCCATTTTAGCCACACAGCTGGCAAAGCTTCATGAAAAACAAGCTCAGCTGAAAGAGGTCACAGATAAACTGAACATGCTACTGGATAATCTCAAGGTCAAACAGGAGGAAATGAAGGTCAGTACAAATTTTCCTTGTCTACATCAAGTGTAACTCATTCTTTGAACTAAGCGTTTGCTTCTTTATGTTAACTATTGAAGTTGCAGGTTTTTGTAAAATGAAATGCTGTGAGGGGTAAAATTTTGGAATGTTGTATATATCAGTCATGTTGTTCACTCTGTGACCGTCATTTGTTCAGTGATGTATTGAACACTAGAATGTTGGTGGAATATCAGCGTTAAAATGGAATCTTATGTGCCTAATATTATACAGCTATGACCTTTCCTAACTGTATAAGAAGCTGGAGGAAGGAGAGAGTTGCTCACAGTACAATTATATTTCAACTTTATAACACCATTATTATGTTAAAAAAAACTGTTGGTTGTTCCCAGAATCTAGAGGATAACATTGAACTGACCAAAGTAAAGATAGAGAGAGCAGAGAAGCTGATTAGTGGACTGGGTGGAGAGAAGGAGAGATGGACACAGGTACAGTATAACAACAATCATTTCAGGACTTATACAACGTAATGTGTAATTGTAATAAGTAAAATGTTTTTGTGTACTTTGTTACTTACTGTGGAGAATTGATATTAATTCATTCCTTTAGATATATATTGTTAAAATGTGTAAAGGTATGATATGAATAGTTTCTAAGGTAAAACCATCTAACTACAAATGCTCAAAATTCTATTTTGTATATTAATATATATTGGCTTCAAAATATCACTGTTTATCTATAGAGATACATGTTGCACTTAACCCAATGAAATAACTTAATTTCAAAATTTCAGCACTTGTTTTAACAATTAAATTTCTCGGTGCTTTTCATGTCTTGTTTTAATTATTGGTACAAATTTGAGTGTATTATAATTAAATTTTTGTCTCTGACAGAATGTGGAAGACTTGTCAGAGACATATGACAACATTGTTGGGGACGTACTGCTGTCTGCTAGTGTTGTGGCTTACCTCGGCCCATTCATCCTCGACTATCGACAGGTGCAAAAGAGAATATATTTGTATTTTCTAAATTGTCACTACTTCAGGAAAAAATCACTTCAGATAAATGCTTTATCAAGTGACTTTAAATGCAGATTTCATTTGAGGTTTTAATTTACAGTTAGTTCAAATGTACCAAGATATTGCTATAACAATCGGAGAACCATGTTATTCATTGTAATTGGCAATTAGCATGCATATATTTCAATACTTACCAAAAGTGTCATGTGATCTAGTTAACCAATGAAATGAGATGGTAAAGGGGAACTGACCAATCACTGCCATTGTTACAGGAATGTGTGAAGGAGTGGTATGGCATGTGTAAGGAGAAGGGTATTCCCCTGTCTGAGGTCTTCTCCTTACAGGCGACATTGGGTGACCCTGTCAAGGTCCGTGATTGGCAGATCGCTGGACTACCTGTAGACAAGTAAGTGGATTTAGATCAGTGTGATTCCAGATCACATGGTCTTAAAAAAAACAGTATAACATATTTTAGGTATCATAATTATTGTTTTGTGCAACGTCCAAAGTTCAATAGGTATTGGTTCAGAGATAAAAATCTCCAAAGATGAGTGTCTGATACTTTGTCACACTATTGCTTAATGTGAAGGTTACTCTAAGACAAGACATTGTGTAGCTGTAGTAAAGGATTTAAGTGGTATTGGTATTGTAAATACAGCTCCATATAGAAAGTAGCTACATAACTACCAGTACACACAGGCATGCCCACCAACACAGCAACAACACAGGATCAGGTTGTAATACTGTGTATATTTATATAAGTATGTAGAAAATCAAACACTTGACATGGCAAATGCATTCGCTAATGTTTTCAGTCCTCGCAACCATCTTCAGGTGATAAGTATGTATATATGTATGTAAGAACACCTTAGTAATCTTCGTGGGATTACATATATATTGTGTTACGTATGTTATATACTACTTATCTAACACAGAAATTTAAATCCAACTTAATTTCTGTTGATCATGGTGGGACATATAGCATCTCTTTGTTGTGATTTTTGTATTTTGATTACTATCCTTATCATTCCAGTTACTCGGTGGAGAACGCCATTATAGTGACCAGTGCTAATCGCTGGCCTCTCATGATTGACCCCCAAGGTCAAGCAAACAAATGGATAAAAAATATGGAAAAGGCCAACAAACTAGAGATTATCAAATTGTCCGACCCTAACTACAGCAGACAACTAGAAAATTGTGTACAGGTAGGTCAAAGGTCAAGATAATTGGTGGGTTTGTAAGTGTGACAGTTACCTTCAGGAGACAGCAAGAAATTTGTGTAGGTCAAGGTCACTTGCATGTAGGTTTTATGTCTCACAATGATTACAGTAGACAGTAGGCAGGTAGGTCAATGTCATCTGTGTGTATGTTAGTCTGTAATAATTACACCAAGGTAGGTCAAGGTCATCTTTGTGTATGTTAGTATGACTAATTACTCCGAGATATGTCAAGGTCATACGCATTTTAGGCTGATTTGACAATAACTACGGTGGACATTTAGAGAATTGTGTACTGGCAGGTCAAGGTCATCTGTATGTTTGTGTTTGACAATAATTACAAGTAGGTCAAAGTCATCATTTTCCCATAGTGTCTTGTTAAGTTCAAGGTAAGATTGTAATTTGTGCGAAAAAGGTAATGATAAGTTTGCATCCATTCTCAGGATTCTCTTTTTGTAAATACTTTTTAAAAGGATGATTTTCAGTTTTGAAATTTGTTTTAGAATAAATGTTTTAAAAAAATCTCAGAAACTCGTTATAAGTTGTGTGCTGTATTTTATAGTTCGGAAATCCTTGTCTCCTGGAAAATGTTGGAGAGGAGTTAGATCCCATCCTTGACCCAATTCTTCTAAAACAAACCTTCAAACAAGTAAGTAAAGTGACTCAATGTAAGAGATACTTTCAATAGGAAGTTTGTATCTTTTTTGTGTTACAGAGTAAGCTATTTATTTTGAAAAATTAAAAAAAAATATGCAAATGTTTGATTTTTATTAATATAAAGCAAAATACTAACATATTTTAACAGTAAAGACTGTTGTTGAAATAACTTTCTAACGATTTATCTTCACAGAACAACATGGAGTACATTCGTGTAGGTGACCATATCATAGAATATAGTCGTGACTTTAAGTTCTACATCACGACCCGTCTCCGTAACCCTCACTACCTCCCAGAGGTTAGTGTCAAGGTCACTCTGCTGAACTTCATGATCACCCTGTTGGGCCTGGATGACCAGCTGCTGGGCATTGTGGCAGCCAAAGAGAAGCCAGAGTTGGAGGAGACCAAAAACCAACTTATCATTGAAAGTGCCAAAAACCGACGTCAGCTCAAAGAAATTGAGGACAAAATCCTGGAAGTGTTATCATCATCACAGGTATCTGTAAAATTCCATAAGTAACGAAGCTAAAATCATTTGTACATTTATACTCTACAAACTTCAGCCATCTTCATTTTAGTATATGATGTAGTGATCATCCTTCCCACAAAATACAGGAATGCATGCCAACTTCAAACCAGGGCAGTTAAATATAGGAGATTAATGAGTTAAAATTTGTTTGTTAAAATATTGATTAATGTGTTTGTATCTATTCTCAGAAACACTGATTTCTGAGCTTGACTCTCTTTCTAAAATACTCATGGGACAGTTTCATAAAATAGTTTTTGGTGGTTGTTTCTGTAAGTTAAAGCCTTTGGGTTTACGTCTAAATTGCTTATTTGCCAATTGTTTCAAATTAGAGCAGTGTATTCTTGTTGCTGCTAATTTAAACAGTTTTCTGTGAGTTTGTTAACATTTGTTTAATTTTTCCTCAGGGTAACATCCTAGAGGATGAGACCGCCATAGAGATCCTGTCGTCCAGTAAAGTGTTGTCACTAGAAATCTCTGAGAAACAGGTGACAGCAACAAAGACAGAGGCAGAAATTGATGCAGTTCGCAATGGATACAAACCGGTGGGTTTTAATAGTTCATTTACGGCAGACATTGCATCTATATATATTTATTGTACACAGTGTCTTTACTGTATAGTTAGTGAACACTCTGTGTTGCAGTAAGAAATTTAATGTTAGCTCCCTAGATTAATCCTTTGCTTTGAGGACATTTTGTGGGAGAATATGTAAAACCAATATCTGTTTGTCACATCCCATTGATTCCTGTTTTGAATCAGTGTCATATCTTGAGAACCTCTCAGCAGATTTACTTTATATTAACCACATCCTGTCATTAAGTTCCTCACTATATCTTACTAAGGTAGTCATTAATCAAAGTTAAAAGTATAAGAGATTATATTCCACAAATCTGCAATTTCATCAATCAGTGATACTTCTGTGTAAGGGGACAGGAGTATTTATCTCTTAATTACAGATATTTTGTAGTTTCTTCATATTTTTGTTTTATTTGATGATTTCTGAATATTTTATGATCATAAATCAAATTGTATCCTTAAGGGAGATAATCACCTGTGTCAGAGATTGATTATTACTGATCAATAATCTGTTACCTGGAAACTGTTTTTACAGGTGGCCAAGCATGGCAGCATCCTCTTTTTTGTCATCTCAGATCTCGCCAACATTGATCCCATGTACCAATACTCCCTCTCCTGGTTCATCAACCTATACCTACAGGTAAGGTCAAGGTCATTGTAAGTGCAGGTAAGGTCAAGGTCAATGTAAGTACAGGTAAGGTCAAGGTCATTGTAAGTACAGAAAATGTCAAGGTCATTGAAAGTACAGGTAAGTTCAAGGTTATTGTTAGCACAGGTAAGTTTAGTTATCCCTGAGTAATTCTTGATATTCCAGTTGTAAAAACTAATATTCAGGCTAATGTTAATGGAATGACTGTTTTTCTTTATGCTGCCATCTTAAAATTCCATAATCAAGCCAATGTTATTGTAATGAATGTTTTTTCTTTTCATGTCCCCTTCATTTCATGATTGGGGCATGTATTGTTAAGCGTGGCTGTTATTCTCTCATTATTTTTGTTTCCTCTCGTTTACTCTTTAAACAAGATACAGATATATTGCTGTGGTCAATTAACTTTTTCTTATGGCAATTTTAACTTCAAGAATTTTGGTTTAAATTTTCACAACTGTATTGCCAAAATTGGAGAGCCTTGACTATCTCTAATGAGAATTTTTTGTAAAAAATCAATGAAAAAACTTTAAAAAGTTTCATAATTCTCATTGGTTGCTTGGATTTATGTCTCTCCAACGCGTAGTCGAAGTTTTGATTGACAGGAAATTTGTTTTAAAAATGTCAGTTACAAATTACATTAAGTACATAGTTTTTACAAATTTTTTTTTTTTTCGCTTGTGACATGCTTTATTTGTTTTGTCCTTTAAATATATGTATCAAAATGTTTTAACTTTCTATAGATCTAGACTAACACCAAGTAATTATACTGATCGTTCAGTCTTATACCTGAAATCTCTTACCTTCCAGTCAATCATCAACAGTGATCCATCTTCTGACCTTGATCAGCGCATCTTTAATCTCAATGACCACTTCACCTACAGTATTTACAGAAATGTCTGTCGCTCCCTGTTTGAGAAGGACAAGCTACTGTTTTCCTTCTTGCTGTGTATTGGTATTGCCAAGCAGCAGTGAGTTTTCAAAGATATCTGTGATGTTTTAGTATATATAATGATAAATGATTTCTAAATGTATGATGAAGCATTACTAAACAAGATTTACGAACAATATAACACACAAATTATCTGAGCTCAGCTTAAAAATATGTGACTTAATTTTCTCAGAATTTGTCATTTCACTCAATACTGTAAAAGTACTTGATTTGGCACATTGAAATTTAAGCACTTTATCCTTTTTTGGCATATTAAAAGTAAATGTGAATTAGTGCATTCACAATAATTGTTATGTGGACAGAACCAGCAAATAGTGCAATCTAGTGATTATGTTAGTACAACATTTTAGTGTGAAAATCACAAAAATGAGATTAGCACTATGTACTGAAATAGGAATCTAGTACAAGTCTCACTGTAACTTTGTAGGGGAAAAAGTCATGGGTTTCTTATTTCATATGCATGTGTTCTGGTATGTATTCTATCAGGGGAGAAGTTGATGACCGTGAGTGGAGATTTCTGCTGACAGGAGGGGTTGCCCTGGAGAACTTGTTCCCTAATCCAGCAGCCAACTGGCTTCCAGAGAAATCATGGGGCGAGGTTGTCCGTTGTTCTGATCTTCCTGCCTTCAAGGGCTTCATGGAACATTTCAAACAAAAGGTACTGCTTTCATGATTCTGTGATATATACACAATTCTGGACTGTAAAGGAAATAAATGGAAGTTAATTTGAAAGTGTGAATGACAACATATCTTTGTGTAAGATTTAATAAATTTTTAAGGTTGTATTTTACAATTGAGTCTACATATCGTGCATTACTACATATTTTAGAAACATTTTTATGATTTTTAAACAAATCTTAAAGATAAGAAAGACCGTGTAATTTTTGTTGATTTTTCCTACTTGACCCAGCTGGCATTGTGGAAAGCCCTGTATGACTCGCCTACACCCCAGACAGAGCCCATCCCTAAACCATGGTGTGACACCCTCTCGCATCTGGAACAGCTGATCATCCTGCGGTGTCTGCGTCCTGACAAGGTCTGTGTAACAACCTTGGTGATTGACTAAATCATTCATATTTATTCATCCTTTATTGTCATTGGTTGAAAATATTTTCTGTACGTTATAACCCTTTTGATTGGTTAACTTTGATGTAGCTGTTTCTTACAAATTATTGGATTGGATGATGGTCTAATAATTCATTTGAATTAACTGATGAAATTTGTTGATTTTTCAGATGGTGCCAGCTGTGCAGATGTTCATAGTGGAAAAAATGGGCCAGCGTTATATTGAGCCACCGACCTTTGACCTGTCTGTGTGTTACCAGGACTCGCAATTCTTTTCACCTCTAATTTTTGTGTTGTCACCTGGAGCTGATCCAATGGCAGGACTCTACAAGTTCGCAGAAGAAAAAGGTGGGAAAACATTTAGTTATCCGTTATTTTTAATCATCATTTTAAAATATATGATGGGCATGTCATTTCATGTATCTATAAATGCGCTAGAATTACTGCCTTAAATATATGGTGTTATTTAGTCACGATATAGACAGATCCATGTGATATGTTCACTAGATTACAAAGAATGGATGTGAAAGTAAATGACATAGATGATTTTACGACATTGATATTTGTTAATTTTACTGAATAATATGTTGATATCATTGCTGTAGAAGAACTGTTTGATGTACGAGCTGATTTGGTCTAATCGCTTCTTAGTACATAGTAGTTATCAATTTAATTTCTAATATTAGTACCTCATTAGTTCCAAATCAGCCATTTTTGCGAGTTAAGTTGGTCTTAAACAATTTAAAGTTAAGAATATAATTGGGAATATGTACATTCAGGTTTTTATCTGTCTTAATCTTTTAACTTTCTGTTGGTTAATTGTGGAAATCTAATACCTGATGGTTGTGTGGTTAATCTTGTTTTTTAAAATGTATTCTTTCTCCTGAATCTAATTACTCTATTTTATGATACCAGCTGTATATAAATACCTCTACTACTGTCTGGTTCTTGCTCTTCTATCTAAATATACTACTTATTGTGAGTACTCACAGTATCATTAGGTTATTGTCTTAATATCATGGTTTGGTTCAATATTGGCTCTGTATTACTAAAATGCCTTAATTTTGTAAAATCTACTTAAAAATGGATCTTTGAATGTTTAATAAGCACTTACAGGAAATATTTATGAGAAATTTGTGAAATTTTAAAGTTAGTTTGTGGATTGAAATGATCATATTTTGTATATCAAGTGTTTTTTGTACGGATTGACTTTATGCCTTTTCTGTTAATTGTTCTTTTAAAATACAAAGAAAAATTTCTGAAAAAAAATTAACAAAGAGAAAAAAAAATTAATACACAAAAATCACTTGATATATTTTGTATTTGTTGTTTTTCCTGTAATGATCGTTTGTGGTGTGTTTAACATGCTAACCTCCGGACCTGCAGGTCTTATTCCTCGAACTCTGCCACGTGAAGCCACCTTGGCAGGTGCCAGGGAGAAAGATGATCCCAAACACAACATAGCTTCCATCCTTGGGGTCGCTAGTACCTCATCCGAACAGAGAGGTGCCACATAACATGTCTTAGTTCTGTAACCTCACTCAAAGTAGTTCATAACGGCACTAAACATAGTAACAACACCACAAAGTAGTTCTGTCACTGAAATTTATCTCTTAACCTCACCAACTGTTCTGTTACTTAATGATAGGTTCTGCTCTAATTAACATGATACAAAATGTTATTTTCTTGTAAAAACAGGGGGAGGGAGGGATGGGGGAAAGTTGTGGAAAGTTGTATGAAAATAGTTTTATGAAGTCACAAATAGAAAAATGTACTGTTGAGTTAAACAATGCTTATCAACCCATCTTACTTTGAGAGAGATGGAGGTTTAAAATCATTATTTGATGACATTCATTAAAAAATTAGATTTCCAATGTAATTAAGATTAGGCACATGTAATTATCAGGTAAAACGCCTTATCTTAAATTGGTAAAAAAATAGGGAAAATTCATATTTCATGACTTAAAATTAAAGTGAAAATGATATCAAAAGGAAAAATCTAGGGCAACACTTTTACGTCAATGTTTTTAAAGTACTGTATTGCTAGATGTTGCACATGTTGACAGTAGAGTTTTTAGAGGCACATATTCAGCATGGCATTTATGATAACCAGTTATTCACCCGTATATTAATATGCATGTTCAGAATTGCTTTTGATATCATCATATTGCATGACCTGTCATCTTGTTTCTTACAGCACATCTCTTCCTCTGATTGGTCGAGACTTTATGTATGTTTCATTTGTAGATTTATGTTTGCATGTACGTCTTAGACTTGTAGGACAGCCAAAGGTGGACAGGGTTTTACAATATCACAGCTGTATATATGCATGATTTTGTATGGAGAATTCATTCTTGAATTTTTCTGTTAAGGGTGTATGCTATCTAATTAAAGGGAGATAACTTTTGCTATAAAATTTAAGAAATAACATATAAGTAAACATATATCAGATACTCTCCTGATACTTGGTAAAAGTGACTTTACAGCTGTTTTTTATTTCATACTCTTACAACGAATAGTAATAAATATTTTTGTGTTCAAGTAAGCTCCCTTCACTTATGAAAAATTCAAGAAATCACACTGCTACATAACGATATTTCAGCAGTTTAACTAGCATGAAATCAATGGAAAAAAAATTGAAAAATATTGTTTAGAAATCATAAATTCAAGTGGAAATTAACAGGAATTTCACCTGAATCTTAGATATGTTTTACATGTACCATATTGAAGTGTTTTTGCAAGACTAAATTTGTTTAGAAGACCCCTTCATTTAACATTATGTACAAGATGTAATGTCCATATCAGAAGACTTTATTCCTTATTGATTCAACCTTTACAATGTAAAATTACGCAAGTGACTGAATTAATCCCAGTATTCCAGTTCCCTGAAACAATATAAATGTCAGTTATCAAATCCGTTTAACAGCTTAATGTAATCCACTGAGTTCTAAATGACCAGACAATATTACGATTATTGTTATAATGTTACAGTGACCCTTCATTAAAATAATGGGTGTTACAGCCACACTTCATTGTAATAATGGGTGTTACAGCCACACTTCATTGTAATAATGGGTGTTACAGCCACATTTCATTATAACAATGGGTGTTACAGTCACACTTCATTATAACAATGGGTGTTACAGCCACACTCCATTGTAATAATGGGTGTTACAGCCACACTTCATTATAACAATGGGTGTTACAGGGACATTTCATTATAACAATGGGTGTTACAGTCACACTTCATTATAACAATGGGTGGTACAGCCACACTTCATTATAACAATGGGTGTTACGGGGACACTTCATTGTAACAATGGGTGTTACAGCCACACTTCATTATAACAATGGGCATTACAGCGATACTTCATTATAACAATGGGTGTTAGAGTCACACTTCATTATAACAATGGGTGTTACAGTAACACTTCATTATAACAATGGGTGTTACAGTAACACTTCATTATAACAATGGGCATTACAGCGATACTTCATTATAACAATGGGTGTTAGAGTCACACTTCACTATAACAAAGGGCATTACAGCGATACTTCTTTATAACAATGGGTGTTACAGTCACACTTCATTATAACGATGGGTGTTACAGTCACACTTCATTATAACAATGGGTGTTACAGTCACACTTCATTATAACGATGGGTGTTACAGCAACACTTCATTATAATAATGGGTGTTATAGCAAGACTTCATTATAACAATGGGTGTTACAGTGACACTTCATACTGTGATACTGTACTGATATAAGAGTATGGTGTAGTGTCAACTGATACTGTACTGATATAAGAGTATGGTGTAGTGTCAACTGATACTGTACTGATATAAGAGTATGGTGTAGTGTCAACTGATACTGTACTGATATAAGAGTATGGTGTAGTGTCAACTGATACTATACTGATATAAGTGTCAACTGATACTATACTGATATAAGTGTCAACTGATACTGTACTGATATAAGTGTATGGTGTAGTGTCAACTGATACTATACTGATATAAGAGTATGGTGTAGTGTCAACTGATACTGTACTGATATAAGAGTATGGTGTAGTGTCAACTGATACTGTACTGATATAAGAGTATGGTGTAGTGTCAACTGATACTATACTGATATAAGAGTATGGTGTAGTGTCAACTGATACTGTACTGATATAAGAGTATGGTGTAGTGTCAACTGATACTGTACTGATATAAGTGTATGGTGTAGTGTCAACTGATACTATACTGATATAAGAGTATGGTGTAGTGTCAACTGATACTGTACTGATATAAGAGTATGGTGTAGTGTCAACTGATACTGTACTGATATAAGAGTATGGTGTAGTGTCAACTGATACTATACTGATATAAGTGTCAACTGATACTATACTGATATAAGTGTCAACTGATACTGTACTGATATAAGAGTATGGTGTAGTGTCAACTGATACTATACTGATATAAGAGTATGGTGTAGTGTCAACTGATACTGTACTGATATAAGAGTATGGTGTAGTGTCAACTGATACTGTACTGATATAAGAGTATGGTGTAGTGTCAACTGATACTGTACTGATATAAGAGTATGGTGTAGTGTCAACTGATACTATACTGATATAAGTGTCAACTGATACTATACTGATATAAGTGTCAACTGATACTGTACTGATATAAGTGTATGGTGTAGTGTCAACTGATACTGTACTGATATAAGTGTATGGTGTAGTGTCAACTGATACTGTACTGATATAAGTGTCAACTGATACTGTGCTGATATAAGTGTCAACTGATACTGTACTGATATAAGAGTATGGTGTAGTGTCAACTGATACTGTACTGATATAAGAGTATGGTGTAGTGTCAACTGATACTGTACTGATATAAGAGTATGGTGAAGTGTCAACTGATACTATACTGATATAAGTGTCAACTGATACTGTACTGATATAAGTGTCAACTGATACTATACTGATATAAGTATCAACTGATACTATACTGATGTAAGTGTCAACTGATACTGTACTGATATAAGAGTATGGTGTAGTGTCAACTGATACTGTACTGATATAAGAGTATGGTGAAGTGTCAACTGATACTATACTGATATAAGTGTCAACTGATACTGTACTGATATAAGTGTCAACTGATACTATACTGATATAAGTATCAACTGATACTATACTGATGTAAGTGTCAACTGATACTGTACTGATATAAGAGTATGGTGTAGTGTCAACTGATACTGTACTGATATAAGATTATGGTGTAGTGTCAACTGATACTGTACTGATATAAGAGTATGGTGTAGTGTCAACTGAAACTGTACTGATATAAGAGTATGGTGTAGTGTCAACTGAAACTGTACTGATATAAGAGTATGGTGTAGTGTCAACTGATACTGTACTGATATAAGAGTATGGTGTAGTGTCAACTGATACTGTACTGATATAAGAGTATGGTGTAGTGTCAACTGAAACTGTACTGATATAAGAGTATGGTGTAGTGTCAACTGAAACTGTACTGATATAAGAGTATGGTGTAGTGTCAACTGATACTATACTGATATAAGAGTATGGTGTAGTGTCAACTGATACTGTACTGATATAAGAGTATGGTGTAGTGTCAACTGATACTGTACTGATATAAGAGTATGGTGTAGTGTCAACTGATACTGTACTGATATAAGAGTATGGTGAAGTGTCAACTGATACTATACTGATATAAGTGTCAACTGATACTGTACTGATATAAGTGTCAACTGATACTATACTGATATAAGTATCAACTGATACTATACTGATGTAAGTGTCAACTGATACTGTACTGATATAAGAGTATGGTGAAGTGTCAACTGATACTATACTGATATAAGTGTCAACTGATACTGTACTGATATAAGTGGCAACTGATACTATACTGATATAAGTATCAACTGATACTATACTGATGTAAGTGTCAACTGATACTGTACTGATATAAGAGTATGGTGTAGTGTCAACTGATACTGTACTGATATAAGAGTATGGTGTAGTGTCAACTGAAACTGTACTGATATAAGAGTATGGTGTAGTGTCAACTGATACTATACTGATATAAGAGTATGGTGTAGTGTCAACTGATACTATACTGATATAAGTGTCAACTGATATTGTACTGATATAAGAGTATGGTGTAATGTCTTTTGTCCTGATATTTCCTCTATCATACAAAGAATATATTAAACAGACTAGTATATAGATATGTATATTGTATTTCTGGTATACCCTGGTATATGTGATTGATGATGTTTTCAGCTTTATTTACATGTTAAATGATTGTTGTTAATCACTGTATATCAATATTGATAGCATGATACAATTAATATATATTTAGTGTAATAATCATTTTTTACATTTCTTAAATATACTGACACCCATCTTAACTGCGGGACACATATATTATATGACTTTGTTACAAAAGGAGAATTTTTATTGAGGTTTAGCAGTATTCAGGTTCAACTGGTGTTACTTTTTTGGCTTCAAGTCACAGGTTTCCATAACTTCAACGCCCTGGGCACTGGAATAATTAAAGATAAAAAAATTACTTTCATATCTTATCAATTCAGTTCTTCAAAGTTAAAGTGCTTTTTTGTTATAAAAAAATTGAAATACAATTAAATTTGCTATAAAAATTAACAAAATTTCATGTAAGTTCCAAGACTGCATTTTGTTGTTTGGCTTTAACACAATTGTTTTATCTCTAGGATCTGGTGGGAAGGGATTGACCACCATATCTCTGGGTCAAGGTCAAGGTCCTATTGCAGAGAAGATGATTACTGAGGTAAGTCATGACTATCAGTTGTGTTATGATTGTCAGCAGGAAGAAATCGTTTTTCTTCTATGTATATACTGATGTTACACCTTTACATCTTTTTTGTTAACTTCTACATCATATTTGCTGACCACTACATCATGTTTTTAGGTCATCTGAAACAAAGTCTTAGATGACTTATTGCGATCGCCTTTTGTCTGGCATCGTCCAACGTCCAGCGTGCATCATCCAAATTAAAGAATTGACATTTTTTTACTTCCTCTTAATAACCAAAATGCCAAGTGGCTGATATTGGGCCTGTGGCATGCTGGAATTAAGTTCGTTAAAATTAATAACCTTTGACCCAATTTCAAGGTCAGAGGTCAAATGCATTAAAATCTTTAAACAATTCCTTCTCAATAACTAAACAGCCAAGGGTGCTAATATTGGCTTGCAGCTTGCTGGCATGAAGGCTTACCAAGTTTTTAAAGTGAATGACCCTGACCCATTTTCAAGGTCATTCATTTAAAATGTGTTGAAATGACTTCTTCACAATAACAAAAGGCACAGGATGATGATTTTGAGCCAGTAGCATGCTGTGATAAAATGCTAAGTTTGTTCATATTACTGACCTTAACATACTTTCAAGGTCACAGGGGCCAAATATATTGAAGTCTTTAAACAACTTTTTAATAATCTAAAGGCCCAGGGTGCTGATATTGGACCTGTGGTATACAGGTATGTAGGGCTACCAAGTTTGTTCATATTGTTGACCTTGACTTGCTTTCAAGATCATATGTACCAAATATGTCAAAATCAAAAATCATTTCTTCTCAATAACCAAAAGTCCCAGGGTGCTGATATTGAGCCAGTAGCATGCTTTAAAGAAGGTCTCTCAGGTTTGCTGAAATGAGGTCACAGTTGTCAAATAGCAACAATAAAAACCTTGTATGTATGCTATCAATTTTGTTCTGCCTGCAAAAATGTAGGGATTTATGGACAGGTTCTAACACTGTCCAAAGACCTGAAGAACTCAGGTGACCGTAAAGGCCCATGGGCCTCTTGTTTGACCTGTACATTATGTTTTGTTGACTTTACATCATGTTTGTTAACCTCTACGTCATGGTTGTTGACCTCTACATCATGTTTTTTACCTCTACATCATGTTTATTGATCTCTACATCATGTTTGTTGACCTCTACATCATGTCTGTTGACCTCTACATCATGTTTGTTGATCTCTACATCGTGTTTTTTTACTTTTACATTTTGTTTGTTAACCTCTACATTGTATTTGTTGATTTGTTTCACAGGCAATAGAAGCAGGTACATGGGTGGTGTTACAGAACTGTCACTTGGCAGCATCCTGGCTAGGAGAGTTAGAGAGGATCTGTGAGACTGTAAGTATAGTGACTTTTTACCTCACCAGAACTACCTCCCTTACTGAATCACACACAACAATACAACATTAAAGATTAACTGTTTATTAGCTCAACATCATCAGACAAACAGCAGCTTACTACCAATGAAGGGAAGGTGTGAACGACACACTTACTATAGTATTGAACAAAGTATTGATACTATTGTATTGAAGTATTCAAATAATCGAGTCAAGTATACAACGACCTCTGTGATTGGTCGGGGGCGGAGTTTAGACAACCTGAATAGTTGACCTGACACCCAATTTGTTCCGGTAGGCGGAGTTATTGTACACTATCAGTTACATAACAATTACAAAGTAATCGCTGGAAAAATGTCCGACGACGGCAACAGTACGCAAAATTTTCTTCGACGAAATTATGTCCGATACGAACGATATGGGGAATCCTGTTTTTGTACAAGGCGATGTGGTTGTGATGGATAATTGTGGATTCCATCACCATAGACAGGGAGAGCGCATTTGAAGAAATATGCTGAAAGAATATGGCGTGTCCCTGGTTTTTCAGCCGCCTTATTCCCCTGAATACAACGTAACTGAACATGTATTCAATGTCATGAGACAGAGGCTTCGGGCAAATACCCGACTTGTGTCAGAATTTCTGGAACTTGCAGTAGTAAATGCTCTAGATATTCCGCCCAACCAACTTCAAAGTTTTTTCACATGTTGCGGATATGTATAATTTTCGATGGAAAGATAAAAAATAAAATAAAAAATATATGGGACCACAGAATTCCTTTATTTTTTAATGCAGTATGAATTATCGGCATATATCAGGAGGTCCCAGGTAAATCGTAATTCTTTGTTACATATAATAGAGCTTGGGCTTAAACTGAAATATTTTGAGCCAACCCACCCACCCCCCCCCCCCCCCCCCTTTCAAAAAAAAAAATAAATAAATAAAACTAGGACAGAATGACTATATGACTATATTCACTGTTAAGATGTTATGAATTCTCCGGTCCCAGTGATCTAACCTGTTGATATATATTTTGTACGTAAATTAGTTTAGTACTGAGTAACTTTCGTTTTCTCGTTGTACCATCGATGGAAAAGCAAGGTATCATTGGGTGTAGAACGAAACAAATGGGACAACCCAATTAGGTCTGATCTGAAGCCACCTGTGACTTGGACTCTTCCAATTAACCTCTCGCGACAGTCGAGTGTTTGTAAAATGCCGATGTCTGCACAGTATTTTTTCACCTGGCTCCACCCACAATCGATCTAGACTTGGCTCTGCCAATCAGAGAGCTTGTTGCATAAATTTAAGGAATTCGATTGGTGAAGTACTTCAGTACAATACTATCAATACTTTGTTCAGTACTACAGTACTTGAAACGTTCACACCTTCCCTTCATCGGTAGTAAATCTGAATCTGTGATCCGTCTGGCCATCCATCCATTGTCAGTCCTCCGTCTGACCATCTGTCCATTGTCAGTAGTCCGTCTGGCCATCCATCCATTGTCAGTCCTTCGTCTGGCCATCTGTCCGTTGTCATTGGTCCACTGTCCAACCTTCAGCAATTCTTGTTATTGCTATTTCTTTAAAAGCACTGTATAGATCTTCTTCAAATTCTATATGTCCGTAATGGTGCCTGTATGATTTTAGGACTGAAAAAAAAACCAAAATGGCTGACAGACAACCATCTTTGATTTAATAGTTGAAAATTATTATTGTTATTTTCTAGAGTCTAATTTCATATTATTAAGGGCAAATAAGTGAAAAGAAGGGAAAAGTTCCAACTTTTAAAGAACAGCTGAAGACCAGACATTGGTGACTACCAAAATCTCTTTTGGAGCTCTTGTAAATGATATTGTCCCTGAAGATAAAATACTACTAGAAGTAAAAATGATGAAGGCAAATAAGTTTGAATGTTCCTTTTTCATTGTTATATGCTTATAAATAGTTATTAGAGATGTCATTCTTATTCATTCTGTGCTAATAGCCCCTCCCCTCTCCCCCTCCCCCCTCTCATAGTAATATATATCCTTATTATCCGTATCATAAATATTTTGTATTACAAACTTGTGTATTATTGGTCTATTTATAGGTGATAAATGACCCCACAAAGACCAAATCTACATTCCGTCTTTGGCTGACCAGCTACCCTTCACCTGACTTTCCTGTGTCCGTCCTTCAAAATGGGATAAAGATGACCAACGAACCACCAAAAGGGCTGAGGGCCAACCTGCTCAGGTCATACCTAAACGATCCAATCTCTGACCCTACCTTCTTCAAATCGTGCAATAAACCTGATGTAAGTATGAAATGGTGTGTCATTGTACCTGTCATTTAACAGTGTGTTAGTGTACCTATCATTTAACAGTGTGTTAGTGTACCTGTCATTTAACAGTGTGTTAGTGTACCTGTCATTTAACAGTGTGTTAGTGTACCTATCATTTAACAGTGTGTTAGTGTACCTGTCATTTAACAGTGTGTTAGTGTACCTGTCATTAAACAGTGTGTTAGTGTACCTGTCATTTAACAGTGTGTTAATGTATCTGTCATTTAACAGTGTGTTAGTATACCTGTCATTTAACAGTGTGTTAATGTACCTGTCATTTAACAGTGTGTTAGAGTACCTGTCATTTAACAGTGTGTCATTGTACCTGTCATTTAACAGTGTGTCAGAGTACCTGTCATTTAAGAGTGTGTTAGTGTACCTGTCATTTAACAGTGTGTCAGAGTACCTGTCATTTAAGAGTGTGTTAGTGTACCTGTCATTTAACAGTGTGTTAGTGTACCTGCCATTTAACAGTATGTCATTGTACCTGTCATTAAACAGTGTGTTAGTGTACCTGTCATTTAACAGTGTGTTAGTGTACCTGCCATTTAACAGTATGTCATTGTACCTGTCATTTAACAGTGTGTCAGAGTACCTGTCATTTAAGAGTGTGTTAGTGTACCTGTCATTAAACAGTGTGTTAGTGTACCTGCCATTTAACAGTATGTCATTGTACCTGTCATTAAACAGTGTGTTAGTGTACCTGCCATTTAACAGTATGTCATTGTACCTGTCATTAAACAGTGTGTTAGTGTACCTGCCATTTAACAGTATGTCATTGTACCTGTCATTTAACAGTGTGTCAGAGTACCTGTCATTTAAGAGTGTGTTAGTGTACCTGTCATTAAACAGTGTGTTAGTGTACCTGCCATTTAACAGTATGTCATTGTACCTGTCATTTAACAGTGTGTTAGTGTACCTGTCATTAAACAGTGTGTTAGTGTACCTGTCATTTAACAGTATGTCATTGTACCTGTTATTTAACAGTGTGTTAGTGTACCTGTTTGCATCACAGAATAAACTATGACAGTGTGTCACTGTATCTGTTATAGACTACAACAGTGTGTCAGTTAATCTAACATAAGACTGACAGTGTGTCACTGTATCTGTTATAAGACTGACAGTGTGTCACTGTATGTATTATAAACAGTAATAGTGTACAATGTATTACAAATGTTATACTTGATAATACCTAAAACTTCTGTCACATTATTATTTATATCAAACTTTGGTTTTTTTGTCACAGATAGAAGATTTTTCTCAACATTGTTACCTCAACATTTATCTATTGTTCCAGAAGTGTTTCCGAAATTCCAGGGAGCTAATTCCAAACTCCCTTTGATGAATTTGACTGTTTTGTTGAGTGTAATACACTTGCTGTTCTTTGTCTGTAGGTGTTTGAAAAACTCTTGTTTGGCCTGTGTTTCTTCCACGCTCTGGTTCAAGAAAGAAGGAAATTTGGACCACTTGGATGGAACATTCCATATGAATTTAACGAGTCTGACCTTCGGATATCAGTCCGACAGCTGGAGGTAAGGAGTTGTATCATTGTTATGTCCATTTACAGTTCAAATTTTAATTTCTTGTATGTAGAAAAGGAAGCACGAGAACTTCAAAATAATGTTTAAAATTTGTCACTGTAACATTTTTACTAAAATGATACCTGTTTTTCTTATTCTTATGATTTATTGAATTAATTCTGTCATAAATAATTTATTTATTTTCTAATTTTCCTTGACTTTAATCATACTTGTTGGTTTGTCTGCCAGATGTTTATCAGCGACTATAAAGATCCCCCCTTAGAGGCGTTGTCCTACCTGACTGGTGAATGTAACTATGGTGGCCGGGTAACAGACGACAATGATCGACGCCTCATCTTGAGTATCCTGAAGATATTTTACTGCAAAGATATTATCATGGATGATAACTATAAACTCTCCTCATCAGGAATCTATTTTGCTCCACCCAAGGGGACGTATGATAGCTATGTGGCTTATATCAAAAGTCTTCCTCTCACACCACACCCTGAGGTGAGTTATACCTACATCTCTTCTCACACCACACCCTGAGGTGAGTTATACCTACATCCCCTCTCACACCACACCCTGAGGTGAGTTATACCTACATCTCCTCTCACACCACACCCTGAGGTGAGTTATACCTACATCTCCTCTCACACCACACCCTGAGGTGAGTTATACCTACATCTCTTCTCTCACACTACACCCTGAGGTGAGTTATACTTGCATCTCTCACACCACACCCTGAGGTGAGTTATACCTACATCCCCTCTCACACCACACCCTGAGGTGAGTTATATCTACATCTCCTCTCACACCACACCCTGAGGTGAGTTATACCTACATCTCCTCTCACACCATACCCTGAGGTAAGTTATACCTACATCTCCTCTCACATCACACCCTGAGGTGAGTTATAACTACATCCCCTCTCACACCACACTCTGAGGTGAGTTATACCTACATCCCCTCTCACACCACACTCTGAGGTGAGTTATACCTACATCTCTTCTCACAACACACCCTAAGGTGAGTTATATCTACATCTCCTCTCACACCACACCCTGAGGTGAGCTATACCTACATCTCTTCTCACACCACACCCTGAGGTGAGTTATACCTACATCCCCTCTCACACCACACCCTGAGGTGAGTTATACCTACATCTCCTCTCACACCACACCCTGAGGTGAGTTATACCTACATCTCCTCTCACACCACACCCTGAGGTGAGTTATACCTACATCTCTTCTCTCACACTACACCCTGAGGTGAGTTATACTTGCATCTCTCACACCACACCCTGAGGTGAGTTATACCTACATCCCCTCTCACACCACACCCTGAGGTGAGTTATATCTACATCTCCTCTCACACCACACCCTGAGGTGAGTTATATCTACATCTCCTCTCACACCATACCCTGAGGTAAGTTATACCTACATCTCCTCTCACATCACACCCTGAGGTGAGTTATAACTACATCCCCTCTCACACCACACTCTGAGGTGAGTTATACCTACATCCCCTCTCACACCACACTCTGAGGTGAGTTATACCTACATCTCTTCTCACAACACACCCTAAGGTGAGTTATATCTACATCTCCTCTCACACCACACCCTGAGGTGAGTTATAACTACATCCCCTCTCACACCACACCCTGAGGTGAGTTATACTTGCATCTCTCACACCACACCCTGAGGTGAGTTATACCTACATCCCCTCTCACACCACACCCTGAGGTGAGTTATATCTACATCTCCTCTCACACCACACCCTGAGGTGAGTTATATCTACAACTCCTCTCACACCATACCCTGAGGTAAGTTATACCTACATCTCCTCTCACATCACACCCTGAGGTGAGTTATAACTACATCCCCTCTCACACCACACTCTGAGGTGAGTTATACCTACATCCCCTCTCACACCACACTCTGAGGTGAGTTATACCTACATCTCTTCTCACAACACACCCTAAGGTGAGTTATATCTACATCTCCTCTCACACCACACCCTGAGGTGAGTTATAACTACATCCCCTCTCACACCACACCCTGAGGTGAGTTATATCTACATCTCCTCTCACACCACACCCTGAGGTGAGTTATAACTACATCCCCTCTCACACCACACCCTGAGGTGAGTTATAACTACATCCCCTCTCACACCACACCCTGAGGTGAGTTATACCTACATCCCCTCTCACACCACACTCTGAGGTGAGTTATACCTACATCCCCTCTCACACCACACCCTGAGGTGAGTTATACGTACATCCCCTCTCACACCACACCCTGAATTTTTAGGGGGAGTTGCTTTGTCGCTCAGTCTGTCTGTCTTTCTGTCCATCCTTTCCTTTCCAGAGCATAAATTTGCCCTCAGTTAAACAAATATCCTGCAAACTTGGTTTATACGTTCATCACCCTTAGTAGATGTACATTGTACCAAAGTCAGGACCTGAAACCTCATAATTAGACATGTTTCCCTTTGTTAAAACTGCATGGTCTCGAGCATACCTTCACTTTCTTTAAAGCTAGGATATTGAAACTTAATGCATTCTTTGATCATACCAAAAGGATGTGCAGTGTACTAAATATAGGGCCTAAAACCCCTAAAATACATAATTATTTATCTTTCTTAAAATTTTTGTCCATGAAAACACTTTTCTTGAAACATTTATCAATTTCATTGCTACTATTATTACTGGTGTAGTAATTTTGTTTTATCATCAATAATTTACAAATTAATGGTCATAGTTATAATAAGTATCAGCGTGGTATTTATAACTTTTGATTATATGTTACAGGTATATGGTTTCCATGAGAACGCAGATATATCCAAAGATCAACAAGAGACCCAACAGCTGTTTGACGGCATTCTACTGACACTTCCTAGACAGGTCAGTTATCTCCCCTTGGTGAACTTTTTTATAAGCCACAAGACGAAATAAGATTAGTTAGGTATTCCCATAGCTAAAATGTTTTAAGCGAAGTTTGCAAACCTTGATGCTATTATTAGTCGTGTTTTGTGTTACTCTGCATTGTAGACTGTCTTGTAGCTAAGCTTGACAGAATGTGTATGCGATGCTGGAAAGCACTTTTACAGTGACAGATGCAGTATTTTTAGTGTCAATTCTTGTGTGCTTTATGTTAAAGTGATAGATATTCAGAAACTGTAATATGAAAGGCCTTGCTTTGATACTTATGTTGCTGTTTTAGATAAACGCTTGTTATCAAAGGCCATTGAATGTTTTGGCTAGAGAATGCATGTGTATACAGTGTAGTCACAGATTTCATCTACATCAACCTACTAAGGCTATATTATAATGAATTGCCTTGAGAATGACATTTAATATAGACATGAATTATAACTATTTAAATATTCTGTTTTATTTCAGTATATAATATATTTGATCAATTTTTTTTAGTAACTTATTTTCATCGATGTCTGATATGCACTTGATGAATTCAATGTTTTATCTAGATGTGATCTGTTGAAATGATTTAATCACAAATAATGATTTAATCACAATAATGATTTAATCACAATAATGATTAAATGTTGTTGTTCACATTAAATGTGTGGAAAGTGGTTAAATATTGTGGTCAGTAATGTTCTATATTGTTAGTTATTGTGTGACTGGTGAGAATTACTAGATTTGTTTTAAGTTGTCTGGAATAAATATTAACAGTAAATAGTTAGACAGCAGAGCAATCCTTCTATTGTCCTTAAATACAGTTATGTTATAGACTTGTCGACAATGGAAGATTTTCATAAGTAGCAGTTCTTAACTGATCTTTACATGAACTATTTGGATAACTATAATTATTATTGATGAGTATAAGACAGTGTTTTACTTATGTAAATGAAGTAAAATTATCTTATCAAAATAACTCTAAATTACAGTAAAAAAATGTATAATCACTTGCTTCATGAACTTAGTATTATGCTGGAATTTAAAGCCATGGTAACAAGACTACAGAATCAGCTACATTCTATCCCAGTAATCAGGTCAGCCTGATATTAGCCATACAATTTACCTGCTCAAATTGTGAAAAAAAGTTAAAATCACCTGGTATCAACTGACATTTGTACAGTATTTGAAAAATTTCAAATCAATTTTTAGATCAAATTTTGTCAAAATAGTGTCCAAACATAACATAGAACATCTAAATACATACAGATGTGATAACTATACAATACATACAGATATGATAACTATACAATACATACATAACATAGAACATCATCTAAATACATACAGTCTGATTATAAAGTTTTTTCTTCGATGACCCTATGATACACCTTTTCACAGTTGACTTTGAAGGGATACAACCAGATATTAGATCACAAGAGGTTTAAGATACTAAATGATACTGTTACAAACCATTAGTAAAGAGGACGACAAACTCATCCCGAATTGTGTAAAACTAGAAGTAATGATCGCTAGTTGCTTCATATCGCACTAATCACACGTCAGATTGCTGTCATTTGTGTATACTGAAATGTTTGTGTTGTTGTTCTTTTTTCAGAACTGGATTCCGCTAAACATTTCACAATTCTTGTACCATCATGTAAAGCATTTTCTCATTACTATTGCATGTGATTCGTTAATGATTGTATTTTTATATAATTCACTGTATCCTGGACTACACCAATATCTCAATGATATTCATTTGAATTTTTTCTCTGATTGGGATGACCTTGCATGGCTTGACCTTTGACCTCTGTCTTTGTCGACATCACAGGATGAGGTAGAACAGTGTGAATCTGATTGTATTTTTTTTGGGGTGAAGTAACCTAGTTTGGATTTTGTGATCTGTCTCATGAGAAAGGTGTTCTTTAACTCTTTGTGTGCTGAAAGGGAAAGTAAATCATTTGTGCAATTCTTATTCTGGTTTTGCTTAATTAATTAGAATTAAATATATTCAGAAATGGTTATGGCTCTTTCTACAGATGAGTGGATGTTCTTAGAATTAAGAAAAAAAAAAAAGCATTTTAAGATAATAGCTTCAAAATGTAATATTTGAGAATTCAAAGAAGATAGATTGGTTATAAAATGTTTTTATGAATTTGACATAAAAGTTTATTATGAAAATAATTTCCTTTACTAGTGCTTTTTTTGAATTAGGTAAAAAAAATAACAACAAAATTGTAGGAAATTGTAATCTTTTAAAGAGAACCTCAAACATTAAGCCTTAATTTGTAACCGAGCAAAATTGATCAGTATGATATAACCTTTCTGTCACTGCAATGGCGTTTTAACTATATATATATTTATGTACCCAGAAATATCACTGATATATCCCCACATGTTTGAAATGTATGATCATTATTTCACGTCAGTTTCAGTGTGGGGTGCTTGGATCACTGTTCACGGTTTTATTAAGCAGAAATCCTTTTTTGTAATCTTTTAGTTTCAGTATGGTGTTTACAGGTTGATGGTGCTTTCAATCAGGCTTCTGAATGAGATATTCCATTGAAACAATTAACTTGGTTTGAAAATTGATGTAGACAGTGGCAGGAATTTTGTGCAAGATTGGATATCAATTCTCTCGTTAATTACAGTCTGTTTCTTCAATAAATAATTTGTCATATGACAAGAAATTCAATTTTAGAATGAAAGAAGGTGAAAATTGTTTGAAATATAGTCTTCCAGATTAGGTTAATTAAAACATGGAGATATCAATTTTAGAGCACTTTGCTGAGACAAAGTCATGTTGTAACCTTTTGCAATCGCCTTTTTTCGTCATCGTTCATCTTTAAACAATTGATATTTTCCATAACACAATATTGAACAATTTTGAAACCCCTGAACAGATTTTGATTAAATACGCTGAAGTCTTCCATGGCAAATGTGAACCACAGTTGTGAATTTTACAGTCCTAAGCCCACAGAGGCCCAAGGAACAGGGCCAAAAGTGGTTATATTGACTGAATTATAAAAGTCTTCTCCTCATGATCAGGATATGGTAGAATCAAATACTCTTCATGGATGGAAGGGTCTTAAGGGGGTTCACCACAATAGTAAATTTCATGACCAAACAATCACACATTTCTCCTTTGAGACAAAATAAATGTACTTTTATTACAATTTAGAGAACATTATTAAAAATTTCTATCAGAAATTAAGAAAAAAGATTTATTGCTATATAAGAATAAAAGACAAATTGTTATAAATGTGTATTAAGTTTTTGTCAAATTAGAATATATTTGAAACTTTAGAATCTCTATATATATCCTGGGGGATTATTTACATTTGAGCAATGGATGAACACTATCAGCTGTTGGTATCCTTAGGGAGGACTTATTGGTAGAATTATAAGTAGATAATTTTTACATACTAACCACAAACCTGGGGTAAAGAAAGTTTTGTACTGATTGAAATAAAGGTAAGGAATTTAATTAACTTAATGATTGAGTTTAAATATCATTTGGATTTTAAACTTATCTGAGATTTGATTTGATTGTCATGCATATTTGATTCAGATTGATATTCAACCCAAAAAGCAATACATTAAAGTGAGTGCTAGATAACATTTCTCTTTTTTTTTTTTTTGCACCGACATTTAATATAAAATTTCATTTTTATACTTTCATAATTCAGAAGACGATATTTTAAAGATCACATTTTTTTACCATGATTTTGCACATTTTTATTATTTTGTGAATTAATAAAGATATTTATTTCAGTCTTCTTGGTACAATAAATAACAATTTGCACTTTTATTGTCTTGTAGACACAACATTGGATATTGCTTATCATAAAAATAATTTGTACACAAGCTGAAGATCTAAATTAACAGATTTTGTGTGGATTAAAAATTTTTATTTTTGTTTACACATAGCTTAACCCTTGACATTTTGTTTTCTTTGTTTATGTTTCCTTTACATATGACAAATCACTAGAAATCTGTTGATTTGATATTTTCATATGTTTTTCAATTTATCATGATAAATGATGTTTTAATTGGCACATAGTTAAGGTAAAGCAATTTGTAATGAAATTGTGCATCAAATATTGATAACCGAGCAACCTGCTGGTAACGTCTTCAACACTACGTAGAAATTTGTGAAACTGAAGAGCCATGAAATAAAAATTAAAGTTTCGTGAAATTTTTATACAGGGAAAGATAGTAAATTTAAATGGATAGGTCTATTATATCACATTTATACGGCATTAATTCATACATACATAGTATTTATTGCCACATGATCTAATGGCTGTCAGCTGCTGAAGCCTCCTCTTGGCTGCAGCCAGGACTTTGATATACAACAGTATACAAACTATTGATTGAGACCAGCTTGTATCGTTCAGAAACATCTTGTAATTAGATTTAAATGTTTTTGGTACAAAATTTTGTAACTAACAGTGTATAACCAGGACAAGCAGGCAATGCTGATACACGTTATCTCCTGGGCTTTTATCTCTTACTTGAATTCATGAATTGAAGATGCTGGAGAATATTTAAAATTGTGTGTCATTATTATTATCTCAAAAAGATAAAACATGTTAAATCACAAATTGTAGTTCATAAAAACTCCCAACTCACAATAAGTTGACCTATTTTTCCTGTGATATTTACACCAGTAACTTTCCTTAACTGACATTTGATTGGTTGACTGTAACCAGTGACGTGCATGTGATATTACCAGGAGTTTGACCAGGCTTATCTTTGGTCTTCCTGATTTTGAGGATGACTAGTACTGTTAAACTCAAAATAGACTGATCAGTTTGTGTTTTTACTTCCGTTTGATGATGTTGAAAGATGATATCCTAGAAATCACCAACCTATACAACTTGACATTTTAAAACCATGAAATTTTGTATCGGAGCATGCCTTTGTTGGGATTGGGAAGTGCTTAGCATGTGTTTGTACAAACCCGACTTGTTTGAGGAATGAGGTTAAAATTAACAAATATTGTACCCTCTAACCCAAAATTTATACTCTCTAACCCAAGGTGAAGGTTAATACCGGTGGATTAACACACACTGGTATTGATCAACGGAATAAATTCATTGAAAATTACTCGCGCTATCAACATGAACATCTGATGCTATTTCTCAAATGTCTTAATAATATGTTAATATTTACAAATAGAAGAATTTATAATTAAAGGATTATATACATAACAACTTGTATATATATGAAATAACAGTAAATGAATTATATTATACCTATATTAACTTATATCAGTATATACTGCTTATATAACAATGGTTATTTGATGTGTGTACCTTTCCTGTAAGTAAAATGTATATCATTATACCAGGTATGTGAAACAGGTCAGAAGGTTTTCTAGCTAACAGAGCAAACATATTGTGTCTTTATATATATAAAGGTTTACCATTAGTCCTTTGTAATCAAACATCTTTCCCCTTTATATATCTGATATATTCTAAATATATATTGTATACCTGAGTTTGTACTATAAGCACCATTCTAACTGTTCATTCCAGTCCCACAACAATCTGTATCGATAACTTTTAATATTTTCTGAAGAATTTGTGATCATCATTTTAATATTTATTCTGATTCAGAAGAGAGTCTGTGTACTGTTTGTTGAATTAATTTTAAACATTGTTTAAGGCTGTGTGACAATCTCTATCCTTAGTCATCATTTGCTGTGTCTGTTTTCCTTCAGACAAGTGGAGGTGGGAAGTCTTCTCAAGAAATCATTGAGGAGCTGGCTAGTGACATCCTCACAAAGATACCTCCAGACTTCAACCTGGAGGAGGTCAAGGTAGGTGTTTCTACCTCCAAAAGTATAAAAAAAAATATACAAAGATATCTGTTTTCCTTGTTTGTTTCCTGGGTTTATCACCTGTGGACAGGGTTATGTCCCCTTGTAGCAGCTGGTGAACAGGGTTATGTCCCCTTGTAGCAGTGGGTGGGTACCTCACTGAACAACATTCAGGAGGCCCATCACATGCCGTCCTGAGCAAATGAAGTTAATGTCATTTACCCTCAAGGATATAACCAGGACAGCACCAAATGGTTGTGATATCTCAGCTTCCTGATAAACAAACTTTCCCTAGTTTGGATCAAAGCTGAACACAGCTGGGATATTCTGAGGTTGAATCTATCTGAGCTTAGTTGACCTCCTTTCTTGGTAGAGATTTATATGAATGGTACTAGACTAATCACTTGATTGATTTGTTGTTGTAGACTAAGTATCCAGTACGCTATGAAGAGTCCATGAACACAGTGTTAGTCCAAGAACTAATCCGGTTCAACCGCCTGATCCATGTTGTGAGGACCAGCCTCCAGGATATCAGGAAGGCCATCAAAGGTCTCGTCGTCATGTCCTCAGAACTAGAGGATGTCTTTGATAGCATGATGGTCGGCAAGGTAATGAACAAAATCTGCCATTATTATTCTGTCAGTTGGTATAGGTAACATGTCAACAGTTTTTCTTTTTCAGTGTATTATCCCTGGGGAAAAAGATAATTGAGCTGTTCAAATCAATACTTATTGTACAGGTCTCGACAACAGGATGATTTATTTCACTAAGAATCTCCTCACTTTCTGTGGTTGAATTTTGCATTATTGTTTATTTTAACTGTTTCAGGTGCCAGCCATGTGGGCAGCAAAATCCTACCCATCCTTGAAGCCCTTAGGGAGCTATGTTACTGACCTTTTAGCAAGGCTGACATTCTTTAAGGTAAAGCTGTTTGCAACATTTTTTTATGTTTTAGAATGGCTATTTATTTTCTACTAAAATCTCATCCTTTACCTCTACTGTATCTCTACTGCTACATATGTATCTCTACTGCTATATATGTATCTCTACTAAAGTCTTCCCCTATACCTCTACTGTATTTCTACTGAAGCCTCCTACATTTATTCTATTGCATCTGTAGCTTTTCTTCACCATTATTTCCTCTCTGCCCCTTTCACTATAGGTTTGCAATGAAACACTATAGAGCTATAACTGTAACCCATGACGTTTGCCCTGTTGACATCATTGACTTTTCACCTACTACATACCTTGTATACAATGATGTTACATGTACCCAGTTTTGTAGTGTGACCACTAGTGTCGTTCTGACCTTTGCCCTTTGCTCATTAGACTTGACTTTTACTGGTCATTCTTTACTCTCTATGTGACCTTTCACATTTTCCATTGCGGTAAAGATTTAATTTTCATTCTCAACTGATCCTCCTCTGCAGAATCTTTGGTCCTTAACAGGTCCTCCTTACTCAACTACACTGACCTTTATTCCCATACAAGTTAAATGCATGTCTATCCACCCCAATATTGTGACTGTTTCTCCTTTACAGGTCATTCTGGTTGTATAGTACATGTATAACTTTTATCTAACCTCTGTAATGCCACTTACATATAGACTTTGACCTTAGTTTTTGACCTTTACACAGCCTAATATGACCTTTTCCCAACTTGACCTTGTTCTGAACTTTAACCCACTGATGATGTGACCTTTTCCCCCAATGATGTGACCTTTGCCCCCTGATGATGTTAACTTTTCCCTTTATAGGACTGGATCTATGGAGGGCCACCTGTTGTCTTTTGGATATCTGGATTTTACTTCACCCAGTCATTCCTGACAGGAGTGATGCAGAACTACGCCCGCAAGTACAAGATTCCAATAGATCACCTTGGCTTTGAGTTTGAAGTTACAAAGTCAGAAACAAACATGGCGAGCAAACCTGTAAGAACTGCAAATACTGCCAAATTTGTATTTATATGAAATATAATATGAATCAAGTCAAATGTTATGTCATGTGAATTTATGTATCATGTTGTGACTCAATATCATAAACATACCTAATTTTCCTATAACGACATACAGACAGGAAATTAGGAATTTTATTTTTACTGGTTTTAGATTTCAGGATGTAGAATCTGAAATGTTACACGCTTTCTTTCTCTTTCAGTCTGATGGTGCCTATATCAAGGGGCTGTTTATGGAAGGGGCCCGTTGGTGTCGAACCAGAAAGGTCATCATTGAATCCCTTCCCAAGATTCTATATGACCTCATGCCAATTGTATCCTTTCATCAGCTGATTGTGACGTAAATCTCACCATCATTTCAGATATTGACTCGTCTGGGTTTTATTTTGGTTCTAAAATTACGTTTATCATATTTGTTGATAATAGCTTTGATATTCTTACTACATGTTTTACTGTTGTTTGGTTGATAATGAAAAACGTGTTTATATCAGAAGTCCATGTAGCAAGTTAAACAGTGAGACAGGTTGGTTGTTAGATCTAGTCCTCTGGGATAAGACCTTTAGGAATACTTTGATTACCAGGTATATCAGAAATTTGACCTTGACAGGTGTTTCTGGTAAGGAAAGTTTGATTTATGTCAGCTATGTTCAGGTTTTGAAAAATAGTTAATTGTTGTTAGGTCTTCAATAATAGAAGCATTTTAAAAAATGCAGAGGCCTTGAGCTGAGTGTCATTCAATTGGTGAGCCAGATTTAATGTGTTTACCATTCCAATTGAAGTCTTTATTGAAGGGAAAATATTTGTTGAAAAATATTTTTGCATCAAAACATTAAAATGAATTGTGTGTATAGGATTATGTGTTGTGGTATTGGTGACCCTTGACCTACACAGATACAGCTGAAACCTGGGAACAAGGCCGAGTTTGACCTCAGGGACATGTATGCCTGTCCAAGTGAGTTAAAGCAAAAAAATGTTTTAAAAAGCAAATTTTATTTTCATTTCTCTTGCTCAATGAAGTATTTGTAAATACCTCAGAGGTATTTCCAAAATTCTGACGTACATAAACAGACTTAATCTCTTGTCTAATGTGAAACGGAAAAAAGGTGGGATAATCCTGATTGTTTGAAAATACAATTTTTTTGTTCATATATGCAAATTTTCTGTTGATGGAGTTATTTCCCTTTGTTCCCCAGCTTACAAGACAAGTGCTCGTCGTGGGACCCTGTCCACTACTGGTCATTCCACCAACTTTGTTCTGACCATTATGTTACCAATAGATATGGAGGACAACCATTGGATCAACCGAGGTGTGGCTCTGCTCTGTCAATTAGATGATTAGGTCACGTTTAACTGGACACACCTCAAGGTCAACTGGGATGTCAGTTAGATGTCTAGATAACCTCTATCTCAACTTGCCTCAAAATTTATCATGGTGTGACTCCACTCTTTCAGATAGACAGACAGGTCACCTTTAACTGGACTCGCCTTAAGGTCAACCAAGCTCTACTAGTTAAGACGACTAGGTCACCTTTAACTGGACTCGCCTCAAGGTCAACCAAGCTCTACTAATTAAGACGACTAGGTCACCTTTCACTTTTGCTTCAGTGTCATCTCCTAGTGACACTATGTTGATATAAAGATGTGCAATAGGGGTGCTGATTTCTAGGACTGAGGGCTTTTCCTTTGACACTGTGGAAGAGGAATTCATACAGCCTTTCAGATATAGGAGGTGATGTTTGACATGATTTTGTTTTAGCGTATGTAGAAAACTGACCATAACAGCCCCGTTTAGCTGGTGGCAGTTTTTTTGCGCACTATAATTATGTAGCTATATACAATGAATCGTAATTGTCATACATAGTGCTGTATGCCAACACTTTACAATGTGCTGTATATCTTTTCCTGACATGGTAATTCTGGGACAATTGTAGAGCCTGCTTTTGTTCAATGCTCCGTCGACAACAACTTATTCAGCGTGCATTGGAGACCATTAAAACAAAACTGTGTTATTTTAATTGCTTGTACAGTTAGAATAACTTGATCTGGACAATGTGTAGTGCAATCATAACTTATGTAGATATATTGAGAAATTAGTATCTTTCTGATAGTTGTATATACATTTCATTGAATGTTAAATCATTGTCTTTGATGTATTTACCGTATTTGTAAAATTAATGGATTGGTGCAAAGTATTTGTATTGTGTAAAAAAAATAACCTGTTCTGTTCATCAACCTTAGTGATACTGATTACCTGCGGGCCAATGTTCAGTTAAGGAACATAGAAACTGAACATCAGACTTAGACATGGGCTGGTATATAATTTACAGATAACTAGTGGGCTTATCCAGGGTTGATAACATCCCTGACGTTACCTAAATATCTATGTATTGCCCAATTGTAATATTCTAGGTTAAAGTCAGAGTGACAGTCATTCTGGCTCTATCTACTATCATTTTGGATATGTTATAGAATATTAACAGATCAAGCTCCACAGAAAATGTCCGTCTCGAGTTTGTTGATATTTTACTGTTGAACCACTCATTAAATTAATGTAAGATTTTAACAGATTTGTGACGTTCTGTATGTATCATGCCTGGAAATGACTATGTGTATAAATTACTCTATAATTAATTTTTACATGAATGTACACATTATATACTTCCATGAATGATTATTCATATTTAAGACCATAATTTGGTCTTAGTTTTTGTACATATTACATAAGAAAATTGGATATGAAGTAATATTTATACTTATCCTGTGTATAAAGCATAACATACATGGTCTTTATAGACAGGTTGAAATATTCACTGTAATTTTTAAGAGGTAAGCTAAAGGGATGTCTAATGGGTTTTATTTGTCTTTGATAAAGTCATTTAAGGAAAGGTTATGATATACATATATAACCTGAGTTAGTATTTATCTATGAAGTATTAATTAAATACGAAATTATTTATATACCAAAGTCTGTGATTGTCTTTAACATTTTAAACTGACTACTGTGGTAGACAGAATTTGTTGTCTGTATTTATCATTAAACTTTTCTCTGATTTTCTCCATCCAAGGAAACTTTTGAAATATTGATTTTTTTTTTTTTTTTAATGAAGAAGTGTACTGATGCTGTCAACATTTTTGATGTATAAACTATACATAGTATTATATACCCCTACACAAGTCTTTCATGTGTGCTTTTTGTGGTAACTTAATACTTACACAGGAACATGTTATTTATTCAGCTAAACTGATTTTTTATGTAATGTGCTGTAAAACTTTATAATGAAATTATATATCAGAAAGTTTATTTATAATTTATATTATTCTTTACATCAGTGCACTGTGATGGATATGAAATTATCAACTATTCATTGTTGGTGAAATAATTGTGTGTAAAATGGTTTTTTTTTTTTTTTTTTATCTTTGTTTAATCTTGGGCACCTGATAATTGTTTGTGGCCATGTTTAATATTCTATATATCTGATTACTTTTTATAACAATAATTTATTTACATTCTGATCATAATGCACCATTGATAAAAATTAAATCAAAATATAAGATAATGCTTAGCTTGTGTGGAATTCTCTGAACCAATGGATTCTTCTGTCTCTGCCATTTTATGGAGGAACAATATCGCCTCACATTGCGTCTCGCTACGAATTAAAGTTGTGTACGAAGATCCCCTCAGTGTATGGGAGCAAGGGAATTTACGCCTCGCTTAAACATCTTGATTATATATAGATATATAGATACCAAAAAGAAATGTACTATATTTCCATTAGTACTCTTCTATCAAAAAAAGGAATTCACGTTATTTTTTTTGTCTGTAAGTTATAGAAATTAGAAATTATAACGATGCTTCAGATTAATGACATTCAAGCTTTTTATATATTGAAAACATCAGTAGAATATCTGGTAACATAAAACTAATTTCATATCAGACTCTGGTACATTGCGACGACATTTATGGGCGTGTCTCATCTGTTTCCAACAATAGAAACAAGGTGTAGCCATCAAAAGATTCTAGGAAACATTTTGTTGACATTAAATCAAAAATGTTTGAATATGGTGTCCTTCTTCTCTAAAAGTTTTGAATTCCTGGGGGAAAGCAATCCTTTCACTGTTTATACAGTTTGATAGTTTCTGATTTAAATAACTTTATATGTGAGGTTCTTAGTGGGTTGAATAGGCTTCATTAAACATAACCTTTATTGATTTAGACTAGAAATATAATTGTTACGATATAGATATGAAATATCACATTTAAAGGATTGATTAATGAAAGAAATAATGTATGAACGTGCCTGTTGTTGATGATAAGTTTGAAAAACAAAAATCTACAAAATATGTTTACAAGATATTGGAATTGATGGGAAAATGTGGCTATGAAATTGACACAGAGTTGAGAAACAGCAGATGTAAAATTTCTATTGTACAAGTATATTATACATTATTTCTGTTTCGTAAACTCAAGGTGTAGCACTGTGATACAATTTTGTGATAGTAGGGTAATGCACTGTGATAATTTCTTTAACATTTTTGTTAATTTTTTTTTTTTTTTTTTTAATTTAAATCTGTTTGATATTGTCATTATATTTATCTACATTATCCTTTGGAACAATAAAATGTAAAGGTTATATAGTTTCAATCGGTGGTGTCGTCCTGTTGCTTGTACAGCTTAGTATGAGATACACCCCCTTGTCCATCAACTTTGTAAACTTTTGGGTAAGTAAGTACATTATATAACATTGGTCGATTACAGTAATATGTATAGAAGTTTTTATTTATTTATTTTGTATATATTCATAATTGTCATGAAACTTTTTCTCTATATTTTTACACTTTCTTTCATTTTGATAATTAGTTTGTAAATGAATTAATTATAATCATTTCAGTCTTCATTTATAACAGCAATTTTAAGCACTTATTATTTGTCCTTTTGTTGTATTTTTTTTCACTTGTCATCATTAGAATTTAGAGATATGCAATTTCTTTTCAATTTTTTTGATAATAATAAAAAACAATTTGTAGGTAAATCATCTCAATGTTTATATGGTTATATAATGATTAATATCATTATTTCTTGAAATATTTATGATTGTATATCATTTTACAAGTTGAATTTTACATGTTTCTTCCAAAAATCAAAATAACAACTGTGAAGGAGAATTAGTGAATGTTATCATTATATGTGTAGGTTCATTGTGTTTACATCAAAATAACAACTGTGAAGGAGAATTAGTGAATGTTATCATTATATGTGTAGGTTCATTGTGTTTACATCAAAATAACCAAATTCATTAATTAATTCAGTAATTTTTCTTATTCTTCATTACTAAGCAGGAATATAGTTTTGATGAATTTAACTACTAGTATGAAAAATAGAGGAAATGACAGAGTTGCCTCCCTTTAACACCTACATGGTTGGTATTATTCCTGGTCACATTCACAAATTAGAAGTTACAACTTGTAACTTGGGGAACTGAATCACCACATTCATCCTGGGAATTTATCTTAACTTTGGCACAGTCATTGTCAATAACACCCGTGGTGTGCTGTACTATCCTAATTCTAATTATTTATGCCTCACTATTTGTATTATCTGTAGAGGTTACAGTGACCTATTTATGATGTAAGAATATACATGACACATTTCGTCTGTGATATGGTTACTCTTGACCAGATGTTCACCTCAGTAATAAAACTGCATATCATTATAATATTTTTATCGATTCATGTCAGTATCTAGAAGTCAGTACGGTAAATGTCCTTTACAATAAGCTAATAAAATGAAAATGACGTAATTAGTGAGAAAATGAAATTAAGAAAAAAAATCAATATGACGTAATTAGCTTATAAAGAAAAGAACAAATAAATAGTAGATTAGTATTAGCTGAAATGGAGCTTATTAAGACTAGATAGCAATTACAGGTACATGTATTTTGAAAAGTTTATAGTCAAAACTGTTTGATATTTACCATACAAAGACTTCTGTGATACACGTGGGATTAGTATATGAAACTGAAAATAAACATTATAGGATGAACAATAAATTATTTTCATACATTTTTAGCAAGTTTTTGTTTTGTTTCTGCCTGCAGAGAAATTAACATGAAAAAAACTCGGTGTTCAGGTCGATTATGTTGTCGGAATACATCATTCATCAAACAACATCGTGTTCTATATGTGGATCAGGTCACATTGTGTATACCAGTCAGTTAACGTTGTATGACGGTACTCTGTTGATGTTCCTTTAACGTTGTATGACGGTAGTCTGTTGATGTTACTTAAAGCTGTATGACGGTACTCTGTTGATGTTCCTTTAAAGCTGTTTGACGATACTCT